TTAAACAACCTAACTGAGCAACCTTCATTTCAGTAAAATAATGACTAAACACACCTTCAGGAGCATTTTTAGATATCCTCCCAGTATTTGTATTGCCTGGTATATTTTCTGACTGTCCACCACCATGTCCCTGGGGTCTGACTAATTCCACCATGTTCTGGGGTGTCATTCTCACAGGGGTAGCATTCTGTGGCCTCCCAGGGGCGACACTCTTCATTATTACCTCATTTGCTATCTGTGGGGTCCTCCTCACCTCTGGAGTGCCCCCTCTGAGCTGTTGGGGTGTGGATCTGGCTTCAACGGGAGTTTTTCTGTGATCAATCTTTGGCTGCGTGACAAAGTCAACAGGTTCATAGGGATTATTATTGCTGCTGTCTTCTACTTTCTTTTTCCTTGGAGGTTTAGAAGGGGTGTTTTTCTCCTGGGGTAAAATGTCTGCCACCTCCATGTCAGATTCCTCAGCAGATGACATGCCCCAATCAGAATTCTCGTCTTCCTCCTCATCCTCCTCATCAACATCTGCATCCTGTTCTTTCACAGTGCTGCCCCCTATGGGTGCACTGTTAACACTCACAGGCTGTCCTTGAGCTGACAGACTATCACCTGTGCCAGGGGTTCTAGATAGAACAGTCAATATTTTTGGTTTTATTTTTGACTCTTCAATACTCCTCTGTCTGTCCTCATTTTGACTGACATTCTCTGCCTGCTCTGCAACTTGCGACCTCCCCGATGAACCACTTGTATTGTTCACATCCTTTACTTGTGACAGCACAAAGTCAACCTTGAATGTAGCTTCCTTGATGATTTTCAAAGCAGCCTTTTGAGTTTTTTCCTCCATGCTTTGTCCATTGATGGCTATGATGTGGTCTCCAGGACGTATCCTGCCATCCACATCTGCTGGACTCCCTGGGATCACAGACTTCACATAGATTCCTTCATCTAGTGCCTTGCCATCCCCACCAGCTATAAGGATACCCAGACCTTTGTCTGCAGGCTTGGACAATGACACCACCACTATCCTTCTCTCTTTCACCTCTGGTGGAGAGAGATTGTCAAGTCTTTCTTGTAAGGAATCTGTATGATATTGGGAAATTGTGTAAGGAAGCTGTGAGAGCAAAATGTTCTTAAGAAAGGCATCATGAAACAAATGAGAGAGAATAAACAAGCATAACATCATTATTTGAAAAAGACTCCCATGACAACTCTGACATTGCTCTGAAGAACATGCTCCAAAATGCTACAAAACTCACCACTAATTGTCTCATCAGTATTGGAAAATAATGTCCGGTCTCTGGATCTTATACTTGCATCTGTAAGAAACATCAATATAAACTGATAGATATTTTTTCCTGACATGTATATCAGATCTTGTCTTATTCAAATTAGTTTTTTAATCTTTGGCCCAGCAGATCTGCACTTTTAAGACTTTAAAAACATATTCTATCCAATCTAACATAAACAAGTTTAAATATATTGTCTTCTGTTCAGACCAAACTTCAAAATTAATAAAAATGCTTTTCCCTGTTTTGTGTGCAAAGTAGATGTTTTTCCCCTTTTTGGTGTGCAAAGTAGATAACTATCAATACCTATGACCCTGGCATTTTCACTCTTTAGTGGTGTTCCAAATGGGTGTTCCTGCTTGGCCAGCCGCTGTTTGTGCACTGCTGTGTACAAAGGCTCTGCTGGTACTGAAATTTCCTCATATGCCCTTGATATTCTATGTGGTAGAAAGTCACAATTATAAATTGAGTATTTTGTCATTTCACTAACTTCAACTACTAGTAATTAAACTGTTTGCCTTGGTTAAGATTTTACTGCATTAGGCAAGACCAAAAATCCCATCACCTATGATCATACATCATATTCATGTATATTGATTTCTCAAATGATGAAGGTATTTCAATTTTATATTTTAAATTATTTTTAATCAAGGCCCAAACCTTTGTGGTTCCTGCATGCCTAGCTGTTGTATTCTATCATCTCCTTCATGCTCATTCACAAAGGGAGGACTCCTGTGTGGGACATCTACAGTGTCATAGGAGGCCCTAGTTTGCCTTACCACAGCATAGGGAGCTTCTTCCTCCTGAAAAATTGACCAGTTACAGATTATTGTTTTATTTGCTATCTTAACTGCTTGACATTCTTTCATTCCTTTCTAATGTCATTTTCAATTTCCATTCTAACACCTAGATAAAAGTTCCAGCTGTCTCATTTCCAAAAGTAAATCCATGCATACCTTAGGAATAGTCTTCTTTGAAGACAGAAGTTCAATACAAACAATATGTTGTTCAAATGGTCTTATATAAATGTGTTGGTAAAATCATCATTTGGAAAATTATGCACTTTGGCAAATACCACAGAATTCCCTGCATAATATTGAGCCAAAATCAATCTCTATGTATATGGCTAATACTACTAGGAAACACTTACCATTATCTCAATGTCATCCTCATCATCCTTAACCGGCTCTTCCTCCTCGGAGCTGAAATTATCCTCTGAACTGACCTCTTGTCTCTGCATGTATTCTTCCCTGTCATAGGGGTATTCTAAGTCGAAGGGAACAATGGCAGACTCCAATTAAAACCTAAATGCTTATGTTATTGACAAATAAAGAAATATAACACTTTATTTTAATGAGTTCAGGCCATAATATCTTTTACAGATAATACAACAGTACATATATATACATATACAAAATAAATATATAAATGATAGGCATTATAAAGTACTGAAAACATTAATACTACCTCTCTGGAACATGTGTGACAGGTTTGCCCTGGACCTAATCTTCATGAGAAACCTGTGGTGTGCTGTTGACAGCTGCAGCAGGTAGCGCCCTCTATAGCAAGAAAAATTCAACAATTATCTTCCCATTCATTGCGCTGTGTCTACAATGGCCCAAATGCACACAAAGTTTCTTCTATTCAAAGATAACAGAATTGAAATCCACATTTCACACTGAATATTTGATTGATTTCTATTAAAGTTGAAAAAAAAACTCTACTTAACCACAACAACAAACATACTGGCAAACCCAGTATACAGCTTGTTTAAGATCACATTCCAAATGCAATGACTGAAACATACTTCCTGTAGCTGTCTGTGTAGTAAGTTATCTTTCCAAGTTTCAGGTTTCCTACATCGGATTTTGGCTGAATGCTGAATTTCCGACGATTAAAGGATATTTTCTGAGTGTACTGCCATGGGTGTTGGTGTGTTACACGTCGTAGTCCCCCTCTGCTCTCCAATAGAGCAACACCTTGGATACCAATACCCACCAACACTGTGCTGGTTTTGTCACCTTTGTTCTGAAACAATTACCGATACATCTAAATTTTAAAAAATTTTAAATTCCTAAATAGCAAAGTTTATTTTTTTAGAGCAGAGAAAATTATAGTTAAACACCATCAAAATATTAAATAATTATTGTGTTTCTTCCACATATGGTACTAATACGAAGGCCAAGGAATTAAATTTTCTTGGAACTTTTTTCCTTCAAAACTGTAAGTTATGAGAAGTAATGAAAGAGTGTTGGATTTAACGAACCTTTAGAACCTTGTAATAATGAATGCCATACTCTGTAAGCCTTTGAGCCTCCTGACAAAAAGAAAACAGTTTTCTTGTTAAAATGTTCAGTGTTTAAGTCATACGTTCAGTCATACTTTAATGGATGACAGACTTTTACAAATGGGAAATCATTTGAGTTAATACTTTATTTGTTTTAACATATAAAAAAAAATACGGAATTACTTGAAATAATAACACATTAAGGGCCACTGTGCATTAAAATGGTATAACTAACAATCTTTTATTAAGAATTCTTAAAGTCCTTACTTTCAAAAATCCTGTTTCACAATCTATATCAGATACACCAAGATGTCCTTTGTGTAGAGAGGGAAGATTGTCCCTTAGGTAGCCTGAGCCAAGCTTACGAATTGTACGCTGAGGCAAATAATCTTCAGGGCGAAAATAATTCCTGCCGTAAGCCTCAGCAATGTAATCTCCATATTCTGCCTGGAGAGCCAGGGCAGTGAGAGAGAGGGCATCTTCATCCTTGCAGTGTGTTCTGTCTTCTAAGATGTCCCTTCTAACTTGTAGGTAGAAGAGATGCCTTGTCATTGGATGCCTGGAATTTAAAATATTCAATAACCTTTAAGTATTCTTTGTGCTCAAGTTGCTGCGAAACACATTTTTGTTTTCAAACTTGGTCTTTGTTCTGTTAAATATTATTTTACACAATATTTTTTTTTAAAAGTGCAATTTGACTGTATTTTATAGTAGCATTTACCTTAAAGCGCTGGCATCTACATAGAACTTCACTCTAAAGAAGACAGTGAAAACCACAGCTGAATGCTGCCCTTTGGCTGGCTCCTTCCAGCCTGCTGGTGCCACCTTGTGGAGCTTGGTTTCTGGGTCAATAAAGGTATGCTCTCCATCTGATGAGGTAAAATGAGAAAATAATCTTACCAAAAAATAGAAATGTATAACAGCAAACACCATTTTCTGCCTATTTAAATTATGTCTTAATTTTAGAAACTAACTAAAGACAATTAAAAAGGTACTTCTTAAACTGTTGCAATAACCATCAAATTCACGTCTCTTCAAATGTGAATGCTTTCTAGTTTTTGTTCCTCTGACAAAAACATCAAATTACCCATAACATGTCTTTACCGCAGAAGTAAATTCTGTAGGTTTTAGAGGCAACAGGCTCTGCCACAACTGAAATTTTCATAGTGAAAATGGTCTACATTGCTACCTAACAAGTAAGAGCTACTGCTTACCTTTTACATGGGTGAGTCCGAAAAAGTGATATTCAGGCAGGTTGATGTAGGTAACGATCAAATCAAATAATGCCTTCCCAGTAGTATTAGGACTACAGGACAGATGGACCTTGTGACCATCTAATAATATCACCAAAATCTCTCTGTTATTTGCCGAGCCTTTGGAAGACTGAAAAGAGAAATAGTGATTTAGTAAATGTGTTTATTTGTAATGAACTGAATTTTCGGTATCAAAATAAAATATTGTAATTGCAATGTTGATTCCATGCAAATGTATTGTAGTTTTGCGCCTCAAATGTACTACACCATACTGTAAACTATAAATCTAATACATTTGTCAAATTACTTACTGAATTCTGAGGCAGGTTTAATTCAATCACTGGTTCACTTGCATTTGCAACAAACTCTGGTCCAACATAGTTCTGAGAGAAAAGCACAAAATTAGTATAAAACAATCAGTATTAATATAAGTCAATGTTATTGCATTCCTAAAAAGTAAATATTCAGGGACTTGCCATCTCAATGTAGAACTTAAAAATCAGTCAAAGAGAAATTAATTATTTCTGAATGCCTATAGGTATTAATATTGTCAACGATGCTACGAAAATACATTAACTTTAATAAACTTTTTCATTCTCTTTGTAATGTTTTAACATCTAAACAAATTGCTGTTTTCTATTTAACAAATATTTGCTTACCTTTTTGTTGCTTAGGTTGTGTTTCTTTTGTTTTGCCTTTGGTTTCTTTTTTCCATCACTGTCATGAGAGTATGGTCCTGCCTGCTTACTGTTGTCAGTTATTGTCTGCCTCTTACCCATCAAGGAGGCAGGGTTCCTGTACCTAGGATCAGGGTCTATATCTATAGTGGATGGAAGCCTGGAAGTAAATGTAGCAAATATAAGTTGTGCTGCAGAGGGCTAGCCAAGAAATTAGGTGTGAGGAAAGGAATTCTCTAGTTTTACGCGAGCTCACTGGTACACAACATAACACCTGGAATGATGAAGAATGCATTTTGGACACATACAATTTTTATGTGGAAATGTGACAGTATTTGGCTCCTTGAAACAACTAAAACAAACATATGAAATACTTAGCCTGCATTTCTGTACCTTGCTGGGCCTGCTGCCTCTCCCATCCACTCAGTATCTAAGTGTCTTTGGACTATGGGAGCATCCAGCCTGGCTTGCTTCATGGGGTATTGAGGCTCACTACTCAGGCTGCTGCCGTGAGGGTCACTAGAAGAGTCATGACCCATCCTCAGCGCAACCTCTGACCCATACCTAGCATACAGGTCAGGACGGTAGCTCCCTACAATAACACAACAAAAAATTTAGATACTGCAGTATATTCCTTTAAGTCAAGAGGTTAACATATCATTGTTGACTCAAGTACTTACTGATTTATCTTTACAGAATGAAAATCAAGCACTAAGTAATAGATTGATTAAAAACCGAGAACTTAATTTTATATATCTATCAGCAATTCCTGCAAGAAAACTTACCATAAGTGTAAGAATTAGCTGAAATAAGAGACTTTCTCTCCCCAAAATCAGAAGACAAATCACTGAGAGGAATGCCATCCCTGCTGGAGTAATCTTCCAGATTCAAACCATGTCTTAAGATGGCAAGTTTCCTCCTCCTCTCCTTCAGTCTATTGTATGTTTCTTCCACAGATCTCGAAGAATGTCTTTCCCCCCAATTGCTGCCCTGAGAACTGTTAGGAGAAATCTGCTGTTCCAGTCCAGGAGGGATGTTCATCCCACTGGCATGGTAATCTGTGTTGCCATGGGAACCAAAGGTGATGTCAGACAAATGATATGACCTCTCTGCTCTACCAAGGTGAGCTAAACGTTCCCTGGTTGGAGGGAAATGTGTTTGCTGATGTCTTGAATTAACAGTGCTTGTGCTGGATTCCAAATCTTCATCTTGTCTGGTTGATCTGGACTTTCTGCTTCTTACTGACTTTCCTTCTTCCCTAATTCTCCTTTCTTTCCTTTGTGACTGCATTCTTTTCTCTATAGAAATTTTATTTAGACAATTATTATTTCCAGTATATATTGACCATAATATGTTCAGCAATTGTTATCAAAACTATCTTTGAATTAAAATAACATTTGAATAATTTCAAATATCTGATCTGTTCAATAAATCCTGTATGGCAGCCAGCTTGTAGAATACCTACCAGCTTTTTGGTGAGGTGACCTTGACCGTGATCGCGAAAGAGAGAGACCTGAATCTGAGGGGCTGAAAGATTTTCTTTTGCCTTGAAATCTGTTTTCGTCCTCCTCTTCAGGAAATATTGCTGTTATCTAAGATGAGAATCATTAGCAATTGTACTAACAGGAAAAGGTCACACAATTATTCTAACCACCGTTTAATTTTTGAACTTTTAGAGTCTCAAAATGAAGTTTTCCCAAATATTGTAAAGGGGTTTACCATGCCTGTACGTTCAGATATAAAGCTACATTGGATTTCGAATGAGAGAGGGTGAAAAGCGAATTCATATATACCTAATCTAACTTCAAAAAAGACACATGGACACGGTGGCATGCTGTTCATCATATCACTCTCATATAATCGTAGGTCATGTCTAAGTCATACTTACAGTTCCTGTGCTTCCCAGCACTAGTTTATAAAGGTGGGACACATAGTGAGAATAAGAATATCCAGCTGTAAATCTTCCAGCATGATTGCTACATGTCTGTAAAGAAACAAATGCATCATATCAAGCAGTTTCTTTATTTGTGTGTCTCTCTCTTTCCGAACTTTAGTCCCCCCCCTTCCTACAAAATGCAAACATACACACATATATACGGCCCTCAACTTCTGTCTGTCACCCATTCACTTTTTTTTTTTCGCTTTTTCAATTTAAAATCTACAAGCATCTTAGTTTTTCTCACCTCCAAGATATGAACCAAGGCTATTCTATCAGTAGGGTTCTCCTCACACATAGAGCTGATTAGTGAATCTAAGGTCTGACTGAGATTTATATCCTGAAAGAGGAAAACCAACCATGTTATCATTCCATTGGCACAATATCAAAACTGACAACAAAGAGTAACATTAAAAATAGAAACTGATAAAAGAATGACTTACAGATAGTATGAAGTACAAGGGCCTATTCATTTTTAGTCTGACACTCTCTTTTTACAGAGATGCTGATTTGAAGTACTGCAATAAACTAAAAGTTATAATGACTCTAATTTGTTACTGATTTATTTGTTTCTCTTGGCCTGCTCAATAATCTACATATCATACAACAAAACAAATAAGGTACACAGGCACTCATACAAGACTCACTTCTTCTGGGGAGAGTCCATAGTCTCCTGCAGCATACAGTGTAATCCCCAGGCTGAACACAAACATCTGAAAAAAAAAAGTATAGTTTTTATATATATATCCACAACCTCAGCATCCACTGCTGGAAAAGATAATTTTCTATGAAAAATTCTAATTAAGATCCTCCTCAGAGTCCAACAAAATTTTTCTTGACAGTTATGTTCGGAAGTTTTACTTAAAAGATATGGTGGCATATGACAAATAAAATTCAGAGAAATAAGTGCTGAAATAGTGCTGTATATTGGTAAAAATGTTATCTTTTTATCATTATTTATTTATTTATTTATTTATTTATTTATTTATTTATTTATTTACTTGTTTGTTTGTTTTTGTAGCACCAAAACATCTAACAGAATACAATCTGTACCTTGTCTACCACTTCCTCTGTCATTGCAGGGTTTGTGAACAGTTCCGGGGGAATGTATCTCTCATTCCTAGAGTCTCGAAAGGAAGTTTTCCCAAATTTGATTCTGCCGTTGTGACAGAAAAGTAATGTGTCTGGAGTGATGAGATACCTGGGCATGTGGCCATCATGGACTAAATCTTTAATAAAAGATATATTAAATTTAGAAGTATAATAGCACAATAAACAATTTACAGAATGAGTAGCAAAAAAAATCATCCAAAGATGTGAGAAATATGGCCTTTTATTTTCATTGCTGCTAAATGTTGTATATGCAGACAACACTTATTAAAACAAATCCACAAAATTTGCCTGGAATGTTGAAAAGGTAAAAGGGATCAGGCAAGCCAAGCAATGATCTGCTCAATGTGGAAAAAAAATTGTATGGGAGTGCTATTTTAAGACATCTGCTGCCTGCTTTCTAGCAAATGCCAGCAGTTTCATAGTGGATGAGTCAGAAGTAGTATTACTAGCAGTTGTACTGTGCTATATAGAATCCTGGGACCTCATGTTACTTAAATAGGAGGATGAAGTGATAAATCAACATTTATTATCTAGTTCACCTCATCAGTGTGCAGAATAGAATATACCACAGTATTTCATTACCTTTGTAACATCTTTTTTCTACAGTAAACTTATTCATACTTTTCAAAAATACTAGCAATAAAAATTTCTCTTTTTGTAAAATATTTTGAAATTTAGTGGCAAGAATAAAAGGGGCAAGTTTTATTAAGGAATAAAGATACAACAAAAAGCAATACAGTGTCCTAGTGATTTTACACGGACTAACATCATGTAAAGGACTTAACCTTTGTTGTTTTTATGAAAGAAAAAAGATGCTTTATTCTTCATTCAAACCAAAAGTAAAACAATGAGAAATTACAATGAATCATATGAACAAAGTAAATTTAAACTATCACTCGATCTCCTAAAATCCTGTAAGATAGATAAGTCCATTGGGAAGTGTACAAGATACACCTTACCTTTGATAAATAAATCTTGAATGGCCTCTGCAGTTTGGCAGAGCACAGCCCATATCTGAGGTTCTCTCAAAGGCCCACCCTGAACCTCTAGAGCTTCTGACAAGGCAACGTGAACATCAAGGCTCGGCATTGTTTAATGTGCGAAACTGAACAAATCAAGATTAAATAAGAATTAGTCTACCCTGATAAGAGAATTTCTGTATATGTTTTCATATAAGTAAATCTAAGGAAATGACCAATACTCAAAAACATCAACATTAACCTGATTAAAAACAAAACTGAAATTTATATAAAGATTGCATTTTTTTCTCATTTAAAAAATAAAGGAACTGAAACAGTTAATTGCATTTTAAAGTAAATTTGTATTTATACAAATACCCCCCTCCCCCAATTGTGTTATTTATTGTATTTAGGATTGTCTACAAAACTGTTTTAAATATATAATTGCTAATTTTTAAGTGCTATCTTTCAAAAATATTTTCAGGGAGTACATGGACATGAGATTCAAGTTTCAAATTCAGTTGTCAGAGCAATCAATTTAATAGAAAGCCCAAAAACTATAGGAGAAAATTTAGCGGTATTATCACAAGTAAATACTACACAATTCATGAGCATTTAGTTTTTTCTTCTATTTGTTTATTTCTCAGTTTGTATGCTCTTGTGCATCTTTTCCAAATTATTTAGCTGCTTGCATGCCACAGACAGTTCACAACCTTCTCAGACACTCACCAACAAAAGTGATTTTTCTCTCTGGGTTAGTCTTTTCCCTCAAAATCATTACCTCTTAAAATACAGATTATAAAGTAAATTGCAATTGACAGCATCATTTAGTCCAACAGAGATAGGTAATAGGTTTATAATCGAAGAACTGCATAAAGCAGCTTTTCAGATCTATGTAAAATATTGTAATAACATCAAGTGTTCATTAAACCTTTCCCAAAGGCAAATTTATAAACAGTATCATTTCTTCCTCTACTGACTGAACCAAAACTTAATAAACTTAATAATATCTTTTAAATATAGCCATAAGCAGAAATGATTATCTGTAATTCAACAGCTCATAATAGATGACCATTCATTCTTTGATATCCTTCTCCAACTCAGGCCATTAACATGATATTGATTCAGCCTAGATGATGGTGAATTATACTATACAACATTGATTCCAGAATCTATTAGCTATATTTACTAGACAATGAACAGGAACAAATGTCAATATTTAGGTATTTGACCTTATTTCAATTAAAGTATGTGAAAACATGCTTACGAGTAAAGGTCACAGATGAAAACAGAATGTTATTAAGCTTATGTTATTTTTCCCTAGTAAATAAATGCCAGTAAATAAAAACAAAGAGGAAATGTGGGTGTATAGAACTGTAGCAAAATCAAATACGAACAATGAGTCACACTCACATTTGCTTTCTTTGTTTTTTTTTTCTTTTACAATCATGAAAACATGTTCTCTTGAGTATTTTCATTCAAGTCCCCATTATACTCAGTAACATTCAAAGTGTAACAGTCGTAGTAGTGTTCAGTATCATATTGCAATTTAATGCACTATAGAACACAAGTGAGGCCTATGATGTTGTTTTGGGTTCTACATATTCAGTGAAAACTAACTGTCTTGATTTTGATTTAAAGGTAACAGTAAAAAGAATGATATACAGTTCTAGCACTCTTTGATGTACTGTCTAAAATTTTTGTTCTTAATTGTTGTTAGCTGATCTGCACCAGTGGCAGTTGTTTAATGTTATCTAGACTAATTATGCTCCTCTATATAGGATTGAATGTTACATTCAAGGAAAAAAAATTAAAAAATATAAGCCCTCTTTTCATACCCAGGCTATAATTCTCACCCGCTACACCTTGCAACAGAAAGTTATGGCTTATGCTGAGCATACATGACGTTATTTCTGACATGTCTACTACTACTACTACCAGCATAAGGCTAAACTGAAGATATTTTCATAGTTTTAATTACTCAAGATCCTGTTGGTCAGAATATGCCATATATGGGCCCAGACGTAAGTGTAAGTATGTCTTAATTTCTTGTGTGATTCGCCAGTCTAACAAGCAGTACAACATTCCATAATCTGTCAAATGTACGAGTACGAGGGTGGAAGCGTGTGCTTGCCATGTTACGAGCAATGCTTTAGTTTTAGCTCTCAGGAAGACCTCAGATAAGGAGAGATACTAAAATACATAATTATACAGTCGATGCAAATCATTTCTTACCTTTGAAGCCTCATATAAGAGAGCTTTTTCGAAATTTTCATTGAACGAAAGAAGTGGTAGCTAGGTCATCAATCCGCCATTTTTGTTTTTGAGTTATATTTAACGTTGATTGGCCAATATATGGACTCTTTTGTACATGAAGTCTGTAATGCTTCCCAACCGGGAAGTTAGGATAAGGGGATGTCAACCTTGCCAGAAACGTGCAGATGTTTTGTTATTCCGAGCATGACATTGTCTTAAGAGAAATAAATACCTCTGTAACCGTCGAATAGCCACTGTTCCAGTGCGCCTCTGCTAGACGCGATGACGTATATTTCTTTAGTTCTAAGTAACGTGAAAGGCATGCAACTTGTAACGCACCGGAACAGTGTAATTTGACGTGCTATAGGCAACACTTTTTAATCATGTTTCGGGTATACACATGACACATGTTTGATCTTTGCTCAGATGAAAAATTTTACGTGCTATAGGCAACACTTTTTAATCATGTTTCGGGTATACACATGACACATGTTTGATCTTTGCTCCGATGAAAAAAAAAAATTACCCTTAGAGCTATTAATAAGAAAATAGGTTTGTCTTCTGCTGGAAGTTTTATCTTTGAAACTCCTTATTTCATCTGTCTCTATCTTGTACCTTCATATTCTTCTCTTTTTCGGTAGGTACTCTCAAGGGAGGTGCACATGGTAAGTTGGCCCTCAGTCACTCTGATGAGGCAGCTCTAGTCGATTACTGCCTCACCATGATTTACTGGGGGTTTCCCCTCACTAAAGACATGGTCTCCTGATGCTAGAACTTATAAGAAAGGAAGAAGAAAAAAGAAAGCGACAAGAAATAAAGAAAAAAAGCGGGAGGACATGCAGATAAAGAGGGAACAAAAAGCAAAAGATTGAAAGAATGAAAGAAAAGAAGAGCAAAAGAGAAGCCAAGAAAAGCCGAAGAACGAAAGAAAAGAGCAGAGGAGATACTGAGAAAAGCCTAAGAGAGAGCAAAAAAAAAAGTGGGTGAGAACAAAAAGAAAGCTTCTATAATCCAGGGTTTGAGTACAACACAAAATTAGTTGTAATTTTAGGATTTTTTTCTCCAATAATGACCCCAATCATATGAATAAAACTTTACAGGACAGTAAATAAAGCTCTATTGTAGCTGCATGCACAGTATCAGAGGTCAGTTTTACATTAATTTTAAATGCAGACTGTGGCAAGTTGAAAAATATCATCAAATATCATTCCATAAACCGGGGTTGGAGTCTAGCATGGAAACTTTATAGTTAGTTATGATTATGCCTTATTTGTGAAAATGTACATTAATTTGGTAATCTGAATTGTCACATAATAAAGCAGTTTACTGGTATTTCCTTACATAACAATGGCAAGTCTTATTCTGTACAGTTTGTGGTATAATAATTGAAACAAGTTCCATTTCATTTTATTCCAAAAAGAATGTGATGTAACAGTCTTTAGTTCTGGTTCAGAGATTGTAAAGGTTATAGCAGTTGGAAGCAATGTATTGTCTTTCTAACATCTTTTGTAAAGGTGACACATCATCATCAAGCAAGTGTCACCTTTTATATATTCCTTCTTTAATCTTATTTAATTCATGAAAACAAATTAAAAATTTGTTCTTCTATTCCACAGTAATGAACTCTTCATTTGATTTTTCACTGTACTGTTTTAACTGCAATTCTAATACTGTTAATCTATTGGAGACAGACTTTAAACCTAAAGAGCATGAATATGTCATGTTTCTGGGATTCCTTTAAGATGCCAAACACTTCCTTTTGTCACACAGTAATCCTGCAAAGAAATAAAAAACGTTACCATTAAAATACACGTGTCTATTACGTATACAAGGTAAAGATCAAGATAATTTGAAAAAAAAAAAAAAAAAAACTTTGTTGAAAATGTTCTGTTAAACCATGGCATTGTTGAATTTACAAAGTTGTTAAACCAAATATGAATAGCCAACATATCTCTGTATGTATAACTACCATAACCCATGCATTTTCACAAAACTGNCCATTAAAATACACGTGTCTATTACGTATACAAGGTAAAGATCAAGATAATTTGAAAAAAAAAAAAAAAAAAACTTTGTTGAAAATGTTCTGTTAAACCATGGCATTGTTGAATTTGCAAAGTTGTTAAACCAAATATGAATAGCCAACATATCTCTGTATGTATAACTGCCATAACCCATGAATTTTCACAAAACTACTGTTCACTTACTTTCAAGATTCTTTTACAATCTGACTCATTTAAGACTTCCCCTGTTTCATCCTCATATCTTTTTCGTAGTGCTGAGCTTTTGATTTTATGTGATTTCTTTAGCAATTCTGACAACATTGCACGAGCCTGCAAGGAAAACAACAGGATATTTGCATTTATCTTACAACAGTGCATTCAACTTTTCCTTGGCACTTCATGAGAAAGGAAGAAGGATTACTAGGTAATACAATAAGTAGCATGGAAATATCATTAATTCTTGCAAACATTTATACCAAACAAGATTTCCTAATATTCAGTATCAATAAAAAAGTACTATTAATAATGGATTTAAAAAGTGATTTTCCAATTAAATTTCAAATTTATTTCACATGGTAGTGTTTATAAGAAAAGAATAGTATTGAACTTGATGGTTTCCCTCATTATAATAAAACCTAAAAGTCAAACTCCATTTAACAGTAATTGTCAATGATAAAATGTCAATACCTGGTCTAGTTTGTCTCCAGTTTTTAAGAGAGCAAAAATGGGTTCCTCTTGTGAACTGGGAGGCCACTAAAATAAATAGATATCCAAATTTTCTTATGTTACCCATCCTGTTTTTAACATGCTGCTGAATAAAAGACAACATGAAAAATCAAACACAATCAAATAATGTACTACTAGTGACATTTGATTGCGTCTGATTTTCCAGGCTCTTCACAAACATGATAAAGTTTGCAATGAATCAAGATAAAACATATCACATCTTGAGAGACAAGGAGATTATCATTAATAATCACTAACAACATTTTGTCAAGATTATGAAACTTATTCCAGTTTACCCTCAATGTTTACATAATAACAGAAACTACAAAAGAATATCTTACCTGGACTTGGAGTTGTGACCCACCCACTTCTATCACAGTTTTTTGTAGCAGGTGATCAGTGACACCACTTGCCAAAACGTGCCCAGGGGCACACTGAGCTAATTTCATTTGATATAACTTTTTCAAGTCACTTAATGTCAGGACATAACGACTATAGAGCTTTTCCTGGATAAAGTTTGTAAGCTCTGTTCTCAGCTCAACAGAGGTTGTATTGTTTGTGTTGTCCGTTTGAGTACTTGGACTTAACACAGCAGCACCATTTGTTGTGTTATCTGTAGGACCATTGCTGACATGGTTTTCTGCGGCTGGAGGATCAACTTCCATGGCATGTCCTGACTTTCTCCTCTGTCTGTCCCCAGCACCTGACTGCCTTCTCTGTCTTTCTGTCTTAACTTTACCATCTGCAATGTCCGTATCACTTAAGTCTGACATCCCACTCCCAGACTTTGTTCGTGAACGGGATATTGTTCTTCTACGTTTAGATTTCTCTGGGGAAACAGGAGTCTCTTTGGCAGCTTTAAATGATTTTGTTATCTGTTGGATTTTTAATTCCCATAACTTGTTCTGTCTATTTACTACCTCTGGGTTTCTGTAATGTAATATTTCAAAGATAATGCAGAGCTAAACCTTAGAATACTTTCAAAGTAACATTCTTGTGTATTATATGAAGAATCATTCAATGTGGGTGACAGGTGGTAAACTCAAATTCCATTATTTTGCATTTTCAGAGTGTAAATGACTTTTATGACAAACCAACCTGTCAACAAAATCCTCATCAAATCCACACACAAATTCCCAGCCATGGTGCACTTTCATCTTTGACATTTGCTCTAAAATGTCTTTTAAATCTTCAGACTGCATCTGAAAGTAAATGGGAACTAATTAAGTGTGACTTTTGTCAGTATTATAGTACTATCATAATCTTATAAGATATTACAAACTATTTTAAGTATAAATATTGCTCACTTGCACCTTTTTATTATTGTGATGCATTCATATCAATATTAGTCCTATTCAGATAAATATTTGCATACTGTATATCATTTTTTAGAAGTATAGTTCAAAGTTACTCAGTATATGGATTAGTACAAAGAGTTTTAAGAAAAATTACAGCTTTCAAGCTACTCTCCATGGATAAACTTACTCTAACAACAGACGAGATCTCCTTTCTTGTGACATAACGATTTTGAGTAAACTTCCACATCTGTAATAAGACAAAAATTATCAGCTACAAGAAAAAAGATAAAACATTTTATTATTATGTACCTCATATCAGAATCATATATGCCAAAAATTTACAATATGTAAGTTCAGATAACATTCGGGAAGTGATTACACCACTTCTTCACAGATAAGAACACTCACCACATAATCTCTAACCCTACTGAGCACCTCTGCTGATACTCCACTATGAGCACTGAAAGAATCCTTTGGATAAAGAACTTCACTGAAATACAAAAAATACTTTACAAAATTTATTATCAAACTTTCACATCTGATATAAACCATTTGCAACTCTTCCACACATTTGACTTTTACTTCAGCAGTATGTCTGGACATGTTGACAAGTTCTCCACATGATGATACTTTATTTCAATCCCTAAAAGTATAAAGAAAAAAGACTTAGTACCTAAACAAACATCTTAAACATTTTACCTTTTCACTACCCAGCATCCCTGAACCATCATGGCCACTTGTTGCAGGGAACGTATGGCAGCATCTTCATCAGTGCCCCTTGGAAGGAATGTCATCAGTTGGCTGAACTTGATAACCTTAGCTACAATTAAGTGAGTAGAAACAACAGTTGATAATTGAACCACAATGTTTTTACTCCAAAGATCAACCTTCTATTAATCAATGTTAATGATCACAAATCTCAATTGCCATGGCCTAAAATTGGTAAACATTAGGTAACTATCAATATAGACTTTCATATAAGCAGAAGAAAATGTTGTTTTCAAACTAAAAAATACCAGTAGAGAGAAATCCTCAAAATGAGCAACTTCATACCATTTATAAGTAAGGCTTTGACTTGATCACTGAGAGGCATCGTCTTCAGCTGGTTCATAGCAAGTACATTATTGGGAAGTGCTGGCTTTTCTCTGCAGAGGAAATTATTCTTTTTCATTAAACAAACAAATAACTTGAATAAATTAATAAATAAATAAATACCTATCTATCTATACATCTATACATCTAACTGATCTAACTGACATATCGCTTCTTTATTTAACTAAAGCAACTCCAACCCAACACACACACACACACAAACTAATAACAATCTTATAAATAAAAATTAATATTGACTGCAAACAAAAGGGTATAATTTAACTCAAGATATTGATTGTATTAATTGGATACTAACTCTTCAACATTCTTCATTTCTGGCATGAGCTGCTTGAGGTATTCTTGTGGTGGAGTGCAGAATTCTGTCATCTCATTACCACTGTTGGCATACAACAACAGCCTTTCCTGCTCAGCCTTTTCATCCTTTAGATTGAATAAAAGAGGGGCACTATTGTCATGGTCAATGTATCAGAAGAGCCTTCAAACTGAGTATCATTTAAAGATGAACATTTTTCATGAGCTGAGGTATATTTGCACTTAACTGAAAATTTTAATGTAATGCCTCATGCATAAATAATTATGGAAATTTATTATCATTTTTCTGAGGATCTGCACAAAACTTTTTAATGGAACTTTAGAATCAGCCTTACTTGGATTTGATTATATCTGCAAGTAACCCAGTTTTCTTCCTCCTGTTTCTTATTCAAATATTCGTATGATGCTAAACGTCTGGCCTTAGCCTCATCAGACTCGGGGCGACCAAAGCGAACCATCACTGGTTTGGCCTCCTCCTCACCTTCATCCTGAGAGGATTCCCCTGAATAAATAATTGCCCTTTAGTTAACATTTCATAAAAACTACCCTAATTGCATCAGCTCAAATAGAAAATCCAGAAATAATTATCCATAGACTTTTTAAACTAAGCGAATGTCAATTACGGATTGGGCATTTTTGTTGCCTTCCCAGCAAACGCAGACTGTTTTGTAACTTTACCCTTACGTATTTGGTTACAAAAATGTAATGGTAATGCTATAATAATGGCAAGAAAAAATCTGGTATTTATACTTTAAAGTACTATACAAGAAACATATTCAATTTTGTATACAATTAACAAAATCTACCATGAAAGGACATCTTATTCACATTTATGTATTCACATCTTATGTATTTCCCACCTGCATCTGCTGTGTCTTTCTCTCTGTTATCTGCCTTGTCTAAATAGTTGAAGCTGGGGTGGAGCTGTACACAGCCGTGGAGTGGGGTCAGATGAAGTTCACCTAGACAATGGAAAAATGGTAGTTGTGACAAGGTTCATGGAGTATAAGCCTTTAGGACACATTTTCTAATGATATACATTTAATCCCTATGACTGCACAACAAGTTTCAGACCACCTCTTGCCATGTACTACATGTAATTTTAAAACCTGTTTTAAGACATTCATCTTGGTTTTGTTTGCTTCTGCAGTCTTCAACACATCTGTCAGAAATATACTAACAAAAATATAGCAAAGCTAGACCTATTCATCCCCTCCTGAATCAGTTTAGTCTCAATAAAGCATTATTTAGAACAAAGGTATTTCTTTACCATCTTTCAATACACCAACTGCATATCTGGATGTGGATATGACACTTGGCTCAGAAGCAAGCACCTGTTTGTCCATCATTCCACTGGAACAGAAACAGAATAATAACAATAATCTTAAACAAAATAATAACTAAAAGCACAGATTCTAACTTTTGAGGACATTTTCTGCACTATTTGTAATTTTCATATGTTATCATTTCTTAAATACCTGTCTCAATTCTATAGATATTATTTATTCCTTTAAAATACCTCTGATAATAATTTCCAACTCCTTGTGGTCCATCCACATTCAGGGCCACCTGCTCTCCTTTACTAATGGCATAGTTGGGACTTCTTGTGTTAACACTAAGTTCCATTTCAACCTATAAATTTAAGACAATAATCAAATTACCATGTGCAAATTCTTCTATAATTAACCCATGCTTCAATACTGCCAATTTCTAAATACATTTACAGGAACTGTCATTGCATGCCTTTAATGCTGTTTACATCATAGTTCTTGTTTTATTTGAATTCTAAAAGAGCACACGATTAAAAAGGCAATTTTCACTTCATATCAGGCCCTTTAGTGTCTGCATGTATTTGCACATGTGTAGGTGCATATGCTCTAGCTCACACATATCCAGGAATTACTGTATTATTAAAAGAACGTAATACCTTCTGTTGCTTTGGTTTGATTCTAGCACTCAAGTGTCTGACTTCATCATAAGGCATAAATCCTGGGCGAACTGGATACTGCAAAATAACAATGATGATGATGATGATGATAAATTTGTAACTATATTGTGTTCCAAGCAATTTCAATATTAATGTATAAATGCCAATCACAGTAACCTTTTCCTTTATAAGACGTTTACTTACTTGGAATAAATAAAGATTTTCTGCAAGACTTTTTGATAAGAGGACATCCACCTGCAGAATAGAGATTAACAGAATATGTTAATTGAATTTTGAATTATAATAATAAATTAATATACTAGTACATGTAAGTAGTAGACAGCTATTACACCTCACAATGATAAACTGTTTAAAAAACTGTCCAGTCTGATACCTGCATGCTGACAATAACGATAATTTCAAACACTGCTTTTCTTATATTTGTGTGGGGTAGTTTTTGGGGGAGATCTTAGTGTGTGTGTGTGTGTGTGTGTGTGTGTGTGTGGTGGGGGGAGGGGGGTATTGGCATCAAACCCATGGACTTCATATATCAGTGGACAGAATTTGCTATCCAAAATTGTTGTTCGAGGCTGACTATGACAGTGACACTCTGGATGTGGCATCAATCACTATCTAGACAGCGGAGTGTCGTGATGAAATATTGGTGAAGATATTGTAATAAACCAGCTCAGGTATGACATATAGTTCTCAGTTAATCATTTAAAAAATAACAAGAATAATACCTTTAGCCTGATAGAGCATTGCACTTTTATGCTGAAAAGAAATACTTGATATGACATGTCGAAAACATGGGNTTGTAACTTTACCCTTACGTATTTGGTTACAAAAATGTAATGGTAATGTTATAATAATGGCAAGAAAAAATCTGGTATTTATACTTTAAAGTACTATACAAGAAACATATTCAATTTTGTATACAATTAACAAAATCTACCATGAAAGGACATCTTATTCACATTTATGTATTCACATCTTATGTATTTCCCACCTGCATCTGCTGTGTCTTTCTCTCTGTTATCTGCCTTGTCTAAATAGCTGAAGCTGGGGTGGAGCTGTACACAGCCGTGGAGTGGGGTCAGATGAAGTTCACCTAGACAATGGAAAAATGGTAGTTGTGACAAGGTTCATGGAGTATAAGCCTTTAGGACACATTTTCTAATGATATACATTTAATCCCTATGACTGCACAACAAGTTTCAGACCACCTCTTGCCATGTACTACATGTAATTTTAAAACCTGTTTTAAGACATTCATCTTGGTTTGGTTTGCTTCTGCAGTCTTCAACACATCTGTCAGAAATATACTAACAAAAATATAGCAAAGCTAGACCTATTCATCCCCTCCTGAATCAGTTTAGTCTCAATAAAGCATTATTTAGAACAAAGGTATTTCTTTACCATCTTTCAATACACCAACTGCATATCTGGATGTGGATATGACACTTGGCTCAGAAGCAAGCACCTGTTTGTCCATCATTCCACTGGAACAGAAACAGAATAATAACAATAATCTTAAACAAAATAATAACTAAAAGCACAGATTCTAACTTTTGAGGACATTTTCTGCACTATTTGTAATTTTCATATGTTATCATTTCTTAAATACCTGTCTCAATTCTATAGATATTATTTATTCCTTTAAAATACCTCTGATAATAATTTCCAACTCCTTGTGGTCCATCCACATTCAGGGCCACCTGCTCTCCTTTACTAATGGCATAGTTGGGACTTCTTGTGTTAACACTAAGTTCCATTTCAACCTATAAATTTAAGACAATAATCAAATTACCATGTGCAAATTCTTCTATAATTAACCCATGCTTCAACAGTCCAAATCTAATACTGCCAATTTCTAAATACATTTACAGGAACTGTCATTGCATGCCTTTAATGCTGTTTACATCATAATTCTTGTTTTATTTGAATTCTAAAAGAGCACACGATTAAAAAGGCAATTTTCACTTCATATCAGGCCCTTTAGTGTCTGCATGTATTTGCACATGTGTAGGTGCATATGCTCTAGCTCACACATATCCAGGAATTACTGTATTATTAAAAGAACGTAATACCTTCTGTTGCTTTGGTTTGATTCTAGCACTCAAGTGTCTGACTTCATCATAAGGCATAAATCCTGGGCGAACTGGATACTGCAAAATAACAATGATGATGATGATATGATAATCAATTTGTAACTATATTGTGTTCCAAGCAATTTCAATATTAATGTATAAATGCCAATCACAGTAACCTTTTCCTTTGAAAGACATTTACTTACTTGGAATAAATAAAGATTTTCTGCAAGACTTTTTGATAAGAGGACATCCACCTGCAGAATAGAGATTAACAGAATATGTTAATTGAATTTTGAATTATAATAATAAATTAATTTACATGTAAGTATTAGACAGTATTATTACTTTTCTTATATTTGTGTGGGGTAGTTTTTGGGGGAGATCTTAGTGTGTGTGTGTGTGTGTGTGTGTGTGTGTGTGGTGGGGGGAGGGGGGGTATTGGCATCAAACCCATGGACTTCATATATCAGTGGACAGAATTTGCTATCCAAAATTGTTGTTCGAGGCTGACTATGACAGTGACACTCTGGATGTGGCATCAATCACTATCTAGACAGCGGAGTGTCGTGATGAAATATTGTTGAAGATATTGTAATAAACCAGCTCAGGTATGACATATAGTTCGCAGTTAATCATTTAAAAAATAACAAGAATAATACCTTTAGCCTGATAGAGCATTGCACTTTTATGCTGAAAAGAAATACTTGATATGACATGTCGAAAACATGGGCAGAGTGATACTGACCTCGTGAACCACTGGATCATCATCGTCCGCCATGCTGATCGCTTTTGACGCGTGCGCAGCGACCTCTATTTGATTTGTACTTTGACATGCTACTGACCCAATTTTCAAGCAGTTGACATCTGATCATGCGACAAGGATGGGGGATAGAAATGTTGTTCGGGGATTTGGTGAAAGAACTCCTTTGCTGCCATCGCAGAGAGTTTTATATCAACCAGATGCTAGCATAGAAGTGGGTATATTTATTCATCGAATTAATTTCCCATAACCACTTTTGAGGAAGTGCTGGAAATTTTGATCATTTTGTTATTATTGCTGAACACTCGTCCATCACTGCATGTTTCGCTGTCAAACACAGCACTTGCATCAAGTGTGCATGGGCACCTTATTGGCTCATGTGTAAGAAATCATGGACATGGTACTCTCCCACATAATTCACCTGATGTTAAGATCTTGAACTTGTGCATTTCCTTGATCATTTTGTTTTACTGCAAATATTGACAAAATTCAATCTCGTTTACAAAAGTATTTTACCTGTTGGTAATTATCATATTATGAATCGAAAATGAAAGGGATTTTTTCATTTTCACTTATAAATGAGAGATTTGGTGAAAGCCCGGGGGGGTACTTTCTGCTGGCATGTTTATTGGACAATGAATGAACCTATAAAAACCACAATATTATACCATATTGCAAAAATTTGCCAAAAAGAAAAAAATTCACATATTTAATGACATCCTCATATATATTCCATAGAAGGCTTTAAGGTATTTTAAGCTTCAGAAACAAATTTGCACATTTACACCCTGCCCTTGGGGCCCTACTTCGATATCATCAAATTGGCCATCACATACTTTATGCAGATGACAGCTAGCTAATTATATCTTCACTGTGATTTTTATGAGCTTGAGGGTGCAATAATCAAAATGACAAATGCTATTTCAGATTTGCAAGGATAGATGAACAAAAGAAAATTCAAGTTTAATGAATTATGGTAAAACAGAATTCATGGTTATCACCCAACCTTACTATAAACGCTTAGCTGAAAGACTACAGTGGCAGATTTCAGGGGGAGGGGGGGTCAGTGGGGTCGTGACCCTCCCTTTGATTTCTGAAAAGAATCTCACCAATACTTGAAATCAGAATTTTGACCAGCTGAATCATAGTTCTAAACTGTACCAAATGGCACCGTTCGACCTCTAAAATACAAAAAAAATTCAAGGGTGCAATAATCAAAATGACAAATGCCACACCATATTGTAGCGGACTATAATATTGTCATTATTTGTTATCAGGTGCAATATACATTAAACACAAGTACAGAGAACAAGGGAATTGGCAACAGATACAGGCGGAGTGTGCCGTACATTGAGACCTCTGGAAGGTACCAGAACCAGGAGGAGGAGGAAGATGAAGAAGACCCGAAGCTGCTGGAGGAGCACAAGGTGCTCAGTGCCAGGTTTCAGGTAAAATTCATCAAATATTCTAATTTTCATTTGAAGTCTGGTTTATTTGACTGCTGACATAGTGAAATGAAGGTATTTTATAAGATTGATGAAAAGATCCATTATTGAATCTTTGTGAAATATTTAATTAAAGAAGTTTATCCTAATTTCATATGGAAGCATGTAGTTTTAGTTTACGATCAAATTATAGGTCTGGTAAATTATGTTTAATGCCTTTGAATACAATGTAGACATTATTATACCTGTGCAGCTTGGTAATATTAAAGAACATGTATGTCATGCTTACATTTTGCTGGGTGATATGTAATAATAATTCAAACTTACATACCTTTATTTTCTTTGTCACAATATTTGGTCACTGTTTTCATCATAGTTAATAAAGATATTGATGTGCTCTATTTCAGACTCTGGATTATGACACCTGTGAAAATGAGTTGTACCAGAGAGAAGAAAAGTCAAAAGGATACAGGGTAAGTTGATTGCTTGTGCCTTTCTTATAAATCACACCAATTAAGTATGTCAATAAGTTATAATGTATGAGAGATTGAAAGATATTGATTGTCATTTTGTATTTTTTTGGGGTCTCCATATGTCACATCTTACTGGAACATTAGATACAGGTGTATATTATAACAAACTAAGATTTGATTGCTTCAAGAGGGGTGCAGGAGACTGGGTGTTTGTTTGGTGTGGGAATAAACAACAGTTACATTAGTTGACTGGATGCATTAATACAGGAATACTGCAAAATGTCAACTGATTTTTAATCTACTTCAGTTTCTAGTGAAGAAGAACCTGGCAAGATGGCTGGTAATGGGTCTTATTGGAATTCTCACAGGGATTGTAGCATCAGGCATAGACTACTTCATTGATTTATTATCACAGCTCAAATATAAACTAATAACAGATTGTATCCTTTGTTTTACCTATAGAAATGTTGAGTTTGAAATACAGAATTATAAAATTTTTGTGTGACATCAGCCATATTTTTTAATATAAACTGTTCTTCTGGATGATGTCACACAGAAATTTTATAATTCTGTGTTTTGATAATTAGAGGTACAGTTGTTCATTTTAATTTCTCAAAACTCATGCATATTAATTTCAGTACTAAATTCGGTTGCTTTTTATCACCAAAAAGGACAACAAAGACTAGTTGTAAAAAATATCTTTGGTTGTGAAATCTCCTTGACACAGCACAGATATAAACAAATGTATCAACAACAGTTGTTTGTCTATACCATTTGTGTTATTTGTGTCCCTGAATGCAGGAGCAGTCCTCATAGCATCTATACTGGTGGCATATGTAGAGGTATGACATTTATGTGGCTCATAAGAGTATGTTGGGTCTTTTAAGTCTTTCTTTATTTACAATTTGAATTATTCCCATTTAATTAAGTGAAATGCAGTGTATCTCCCTCTTCTATTCAAGTTTACATGAGCTTACAAACAAAAGAAATTGTACAAAATAATTTGTGAAAACAAAATGTTTATTTATAAAATGCATTTGTTTGTATTTTAGCCCCAGGCAGGAGGTAGTGGTATTCCCCAAATCAAATGCTATCTAAATGGAGTTAAAATCCCCCGAGTCGTAAGGATCAAAACTCTGGTGTCTAAATGTATTGGAGTCGTATTCTCTGTGGTTGGAGGACTGGCAGTGGGGAAGGTTTGTTTAAGGGTGCTACAAGTATTTTTTGTTGTTTAAATAAAAGTTTAAATGTTATTTAAACTCATGTAGAGATTTTAATTTTGTAAATTATAACATATGTTCATTCTGGAAACAGTCTGTTTTTAAATTCATTTTAGTCTGTTTAAATTAATGCTAATTGTAACGATAGATATACAAAAAATGAAGTGTATGTTGAAGTGTATGTTGAACCACATGCCCACTTACATTTGCTAAATGACATGCTTTCTGTAGAGTTAACTGGCTTTACTTTGTTTCAAAATATTTTCCAGGAAGGGCCAATGATTCACAGTGGAGCTGTGATAGCAGCAGGCATCTCACAAGGAAGATCTGCAACTTTTAATAAAGATTTCAGGGTAATATTTCTGAGAAAATGTCTGGACATTTCTATGAAATGTACATTGTGGCCACAGGTTTGAATACCTGTCTTGGTTATATCTAATTCCACACATCTGAAAAAACGCAAAGGAATTTTTGAAGGTTTTTATAGTTGGAAAAATGACAGTAACTGTGGTTTATATTTAGATGATTTTAGAGAATGCCGCATTAGTATATATTATGTAAGAATATTATACCTCTTGTATGTTATGCTTCTCAAGTTGATTTTCTCTTGTCATACTTAGTGTTACATTTTAACTGCAGGTGTTTGAATACTTTCGCACTGATCATGAAAAGCGAGATTTTGTTTCTGGTGGTGCTGCTGCTGGTGTTTCTGCAGCCTTTGGTGCCCCTGTGGGTGGGGTGCTTTTCAGCTTGGAGGAGGGCGCCAGCTACTGGAACCAGTCCTTAACGTGGAGAATTGTAAGTTAACTGAATTGTCATGGTTCAGTCTTTCTTCTCATGTACGCCTTTGCATTTTGTTTGGTGAATGTTTTAAATTCTTCAACAGCATTAATAAGCAGTTCTAGGGAGATACAGTATATATGTCAGTGCATTGAATTTATTACAAGAATGCTTTCTAAATATGTTTGATACCTGTGTATTGATTACCTCTGTAAAAGGTTAGATCTACATCAGAATCTACATATTCTTTTCCCCATTCCAGTTCTTTGCCTCCTTCATCTCCACCTTCACCCTTAATGTAGTGCTCAGCTATGTCAAGGGTCATCCCTGGGACCTGTCCAACCCTGGACTCATCAATTTTGGGGAGTTTAACTCAGTCACTTACAATGGAGTAGAGATACCTATATTTCTGATGATAGGGGCCATAGGTGGGTGAAGTTGATCAAAATGGAACCTGTTTGATTATAAATTAATTTTTTACAAGATGATCTTCATGCAGCGAAATGTTGCCATTGCTTTGCTATAATACTATGTGAGTATGATTTGGTGTATATCCATGTAACTTTTTATATGGACATAGTTTAATTTATTGTCATGTGTTTTTTTTTTCTCCTTATTTTCAAGGTGGTCTGTTTGGTGCTCTGTTCAACATGATCAACCACAAGCTATCTGTGTTTAGAATGAGGTGAGAATATGTCAGACTCTGTTGAAGATGATGGAGCTTGTCTTCATTTATTTCTCCATTTTATTTGGAGATCTTGGCAAGTAGATATATGAGTATAGATATTTGAGATGTGATATTGCAAAAACTGTGTATTAAAAATGACATTGAAAAATATGTATTGAGGTCTTCATGTTGAGGCTGAAAAATAGTGGAAACCAATTATAAACAAAACAAAAACATTCCTGTTCATAAATATCTGTTTCAGTAAGCTTTGTTGATAAATCTTTTAACCATTTTATCCAGGCATGTGTATAGAAAATCCACCAAAGTGGTTGAAGCCATGATAGTGGCTGGAATCACTGCAATGATTGCCTTTGTGCTAATGTATTTCATCACTGACTGTTCTCCACTGGGGAATGACCCCACAGAGCATCCTGTACAGGTAGGGGTGTGTTAGATTGATGATAGTCTGTTTGAACTGGATCATGTTATGTTTTAAGAACTGTTGCATTAGGGCAGAAGATAGTTTTGCTGCCTCCGGCATAAAGAGATGCACCTTCCAATTCTTTCACGTAGTATTCTTGAGTGTAGTCTTGACATCATTGACTCAATTGTAATAGGTCTCCAGTTTCTAGATTTGTCCCATTTGGTATCCACTGTTGGATTTTCATCCAATGTTTCTTTTACCCTTCTCTCATGCATTTCGACCTTTCTTCAGTTTACAGCAAAGCCAGAAAGTTCATTGTACAATAAACATTAAATGACTGTGTTTTTCTTCAGTTCTTTTGTTCTGATGGAGAATTCAATGGTCTGGCAGCATTATTTTTCCAAACACCAGAAGCAAGTGTCAAGAGTTTGTTCCATGATCCCAACAGTAAGTTGCACCATTGTACAATTTGAAGTATTTCAGAATGATACCGAGTTTTAATACAAAATATTGGGGAAATCATGATCATTTTTCTTCTGTGTTGATATGTATTATTATCTATGGTAGTTGGTGTCTGTAAACTATTGGACTTGGTGAATTTTGGTGAATTTTCTTTGTCGAGTATTATATTAGAAACAGAATTAATGTCTTTGTTTTCTCGTAAAATAGATCTCAAATGATTTGTCACATGGTAACTTGTATTGGCTTTTCTAGTGAATCTGTTAAAGTATTATTGGTTAAATGAATAAATGTTATTGCATATTTTCATTAATAATGAAATATGTCTTTTTCAGACAGCTACCAGCCCCTGACACTGAGTGTGTTCTTTTTAGTGTACTTCTGCCTGTCTATATGGACCTATGGCCTGGCTGTGTCCAGTGGTCTTTTTATCCCTGCTCTCCTCACGGGAGCTGCATGGGGGAGACTTGTAGGCATTTTCCTGGCACAGATATTTCCAAATCAGGTGACAGCTTTTGACTAGATTGTGAAATATATTTAAATATAAAAAAAGATGTGAAAACATTTAAGTATAACAAAGAAGTAATGCTTGGTCAGTATGGTTCCAAAAATAAGCTCCCCTGTCATAATGTGTAGTTTTTGTTTTTGTTTTAAATAAAATGGAGAAATGTTAGAACTTGCATTTCTACTTCTTGAATATTTTAATGTTAGTATATATATATATATATCTAGCAATATGACAATCACCACCTTGACTTTTGCAAAATGATACAGTAATTAAACTTTAAGAAAAACTTATGTATTTCATATAATGTTAGATATCTAGATATACATAATCTGTTTGACATGTTTTTTTTAAATGAATGCTTACCTGGAACGATTTAATAATATATAGCCCTTGATTATGAATTAAAACTGCTGTGTTTCCAGGGATGGGTGGACCCTGGGAAGTATGCCTTACTCGGAGCAGCAGCCCAGTTAGGTAGGGGATATTCAATATCAGACATGTTTTTTTAAACATTATATTAGATTATTTTTTCATTTGTTTATTTATTTATTATTATTATTATTATTATTTCTACTTTTAGCAAATGAAGTATTTCATTATGGAAATATTTGAGCATTGAGAAGTACTGTGCTTTAACTGAGATATGTGTTGTTGTTGGAATCACAAAGTCAATAATGTATTCATCTGCTCAATGTAATTTTACTGTTGTACAGAAGAAACGCTGGAAAGAAAACACTTTCGTCCTGTTCTAATGATCAAGTGTTGTAATTACAGGGGGTGTGGTACGCATGACAATCAGTTTGACTGTGATCATCACAGAGGCCACTGGCAACTTGTCCTTGGGTCTTCCCATCATGTTGGTGTTAATGATGGCAAAATGGGTAGGAGACTATTTCAATGAGGTAAGCAACATGATGGCTATGCAGCAAATGTTTAAATGCTTGTGGTGCATTTGTCTGTAACATGAAAAGCTATATTCTCTACAAGTTATTTTGAGTTTGATTGAATTTATTTTACTTTAAGGGAAAATTAGGCCCAATATTATAGTGTTGTCCTTACAAACTTTCACAGGCTTTCATTACTGTCATTTTTTTATGCCATTTATTCCACCAAATGTACCATGGTATTTCCAGGGTATTTATGACATCCACATCCAGTTGATGGCAGTCCCAATGATACAGTGGGAGCCCCCACCTTTATCATCAAATGTTCTGGCCTGGTGAGTGTACATTGTGTACATTTATTTTCATGTCTGTTTTACTTACCAGGGATTCACATGTAGTGTGTGGTTTTATGAATTAAATCCACTGCTTTGCATTATATTGCACATAACACTTATTTATTGCATTATGTATGGATTATAAAGTTAATGTACATAATTTTAAAATTGGTGTCACTTTTTTTTTTTTGCATGTTTTTGATCTTTTGCCAGTGAAATGCCAATAAATGAAGTTTCATAAATAATATTTTAAAATTCAAATCTGCTCATATTTTCAGATAGGATGAGTGGCTGATTAGCATTAGAATCCTACCTATTTTTCTATGTAGATTGGAATTATTTGTATGTAAAAATATTTATTTTCAGTGAAGTAATGAGTCATCCTGTGACCACGTTTAGAACAGTGGAGAAAGTTGGGCGTATCAGAGAGAAGCTGGAGAAGGAGACCCACCATGGTTTCCCAGTGGTGGATGAGTATGACCCTGATGCTGTAAGAAATTAAAGGATTCTAGATGCATTTTGATTGAATCCCATTAGTATCGGCTTCAACGTTATTTTACAGCTTATCTTTAATAAACCATAAATATGTTATTTAATTATTTCTCAGTTAAGCATGTTGATTTTCTCAGATTTGTTGTCCAAATGTGGGTATTATAGCTCTATTAGGTAGAAATACTTTACTATCTTCTATTTCAGGATGATAATACAACCTTTGGTGTCTTCAAGGGATTAATTCTGAGGGACCAGTTGCTTGTTCTCCTAGAAAACAAGGTATGGGGACATTGTTTTGCACTTTCCAAACAGATGCATTGAAATAAAAAAGCCTATAATTTTAATTTTTGAAAAAGGTTCATAAAATATGACGATAATATGAAAAGATTTTTTGTGCTTGTGTGTGTGGGTTAGCCATTACCAAATGGGGCTAATTTTGCATGTATTTTGATCTTTCATATTAGGTCTTTAAAGATCCACATGGAAATCCTTGCAACACTACCAAACTTAGTTCAAAAGACTTCAGGAACCAGTACCCTAGATTTCCAGATATCAAGGTATACTCTTGATATGAAACTTACCTAGAAGATAAAAAGTAAAAATGATAACAAATAATTGTGGATATTAATTTCAAATGTTTGATAAAAAATGGAAAAATTCAATTTGTAGAAGGCTGGCAGTAGAAGACGATACAGAATTTGAATAGCCATCTTTGATGGAGTTGATTAACTACAAAGTGCAGTTTGGCTTGAAGTTGCTAATACAATTATTAGTTGCGTCGGGTTTGAACATTTTAGATGTAGGTTCAGTGTACACATATATAGTCATTAACAATTGTTTGTCTATCATCTAGCAAATCAATATTTCTGTTCACGAAAGAGAGTGCACCATGGATCTCAGACCATTTATGAATCCATCACCATACACTGTGTCTGACGTGAGTGGCGCTCTATCTAATCTAACACAGCACTGGCCAAAAATGGCTATTTTCCGGTATTAAGATACTTGTTCATGTAACTGTTGAAACATAATATAGAATATTAGCACCTAAAGTTTGATTTTGAAGCACTGGCAGATTTATGGTAAAGTGTGTGAATTTTCATTAAATTACTTTTACATGAAACACGTAACAATAGAAATGCCATTTGAAGATGATCAGTTATATTCAATTGAGTATGTTGTAAAAGATTTATTGATTTTTTGTGACTAATGTCTGGACATCTTGCTTTGTGTTAACTAATAACATTGTGTGCTCTAACATTAGACAGCAATGATGAATTAAATTTTTTTAATCAAAATGTTTTTCTTATATATTGTAAATCTTGGATCATCAGCGAGCATCCCTGCCAAGGATCTTCAAGTTGTTCCGAGGTCTAGGATTGAGGCACATAGTAGTTATCAATGATACACACCAGGTAAATATGCAGCTCGCATATATATGTGTGTGTGCATGTGCATGTAGCAAAAAGGTAAACGGATGGAGTTGCATGTCTGTTGGAATTTTGATTCACCTTTCTTTGATCACTATGCAAAATTTGTTTTTCAAAGTTTGATATATGTAATCAGTCGACTTGGTTTCTGTGGCAGATTTTAAGGATTAAAAGCCATAATGTTAAGTCAAAATCTTTAGATGCTAAACATTTCAACTTGTTCCCAAAACCAAATACAAAATGTGGCTGTTGATGACTATTTTGGATTTTGCCCTGTTTTATTTGTAGGCCTTTTTCAAAGTTTCAATATTATGTACTTTTTCATGTTTCAAAGGCATTTTATTTATTATTTATTTAGGTTGTTGGCATGGTAACCCGAAAAGACTTGGCCCGGTACAGGTTAGAGCATGTTGGAGGAGAACTGAAGCTGGAGGAGATGGACATTACACACAGCTGAATTCAGAATACTCCGTGTTCAAGTTGTGACTATCTGTGTTCCTGAAACTGTGTACTGTTCTAGAAAGCTGCTGTGTGAATTACCTGACAGATTTGAAGTGGTGACACTGAATGTATGGTGTTGACAGCTAGAGTTTGCTGAGACTAAGCAGCTATCATACACTCCATATTGGAGCATTTCTCTTCCCTGAACATACTGCAGCAGTTGCTTTTGTCGTGCCTATTAAGGGAACAAAACTTAATGTGGAATATTAAAACCATCATATCACATATGTAAATTAAGGGAATTGAAAATGCTTTTTTTTTCACATTATTTTGTAAACCATACATGAATGACCATGGCCATAGCATATGTGTTCAATATAAAAGTACAACTTTTGAAGATGGGAAACCTACTATATATTTATATCGAGTAATGGGTTTTCCTCCTTTTTAAGTGGAATGAACTTGATAGTTGCTGTATTTTGCCTAAAAGGGATCTTTTTCCTTCTATGTGCATTATCTGTTCTTGTCCCTCTGATAAGGAGGGTAAAATATATAATTATCAATGTAGTCTAAACAATTACAATGTATTAATACTCCGTACAAGAGAAATGCATTTCACAACTATACAGAAATTTTTCATTTCATTTCTAAGTTGAGTGCCATAAATTCAGAATAAGAATCTTATATTTACAAACAATTAGTCCATTACTGTGCAATCCTCAGCATTTCATAGCATTCTTTTTTGTCAATTACTTGAATTTAACACATGTTCAGTTCTAGTAATCAGATACTTATTTTTGGAATAAAATGTTATATCGCATCCTCCAGCTTTTGTTTATTATTTGCAGTTTATTACTACTAGCATGGGGGAAAAAATCAGACTCTATTTGGTAACTAGGTGAATTTACTCTTTTCCCCCACCATCCCCATGTTTTCACAGCAGATTTTGCTCCCAATCTGGCATTAGAGTGCACTGAAAATGGCAGTTAAATGAAATTATCTATATTTGCTATTATCACTCATGCAAAAGAAATTACATATTCTGATACTCGTAGTTAATAAATGAATTTTTAATAATTCAAAGTATATGCCACAGATATCTATACATTTTTTCTTCAGTAAATACATTTTCATAACAAAGGACTTGAGATGGACTTAATGATAGAGTTTTAATAATTCAAAGTATACGCAACATAACTATACAATTTTTCTTCAGTAAATAAATTTCCATAACAAAAGACTTGAAATGGACTCAATTTATAATGCCTGTTCTCTTCTACTCTTCATATTTTTGCATGCAGAGTTGACTTGAGAATAGTTACAATAAGGTCTACACTTTACGGTCTATTTCTTGGCCTTCTAAAAAGTGGAATAAATCATCAGGAATGCCATGCATTTTTGCTCTGAGCATACCATCCCTTATGATACACAAAAACCCACTATCAGTTTGTGAACACATCAAGGATCATCCTATTGTCCTTTCATGGATGCTTGTTTGTTCTCTCAAAGGTTTACAAGAGTGTGTATTATTCTCATGGATGCTTGTTTGTTCTCTCAAAGGTTTACAAGAGTGTGTATTATTCAAGACCAAAATGCACATCAAGCTTTAGAAAAATCCCTGTGTCTCTGATCATTCCACAAAAATTTATTCCAGTGAGAACTCATATTTTTTTCCATTGTATTTCAAATCCTTTGATTTTATTCCACCTGTGCCACACCTCCTGCTGCCTCAAGTTTTTTCTTCACTGTCTCTGCTTCTTCCTGGCCAACGTCTTGTATAACAACTTGGGGTAAACTTTCAACAAATTTCTTAGCCTGTAATACAAAAAAGAGCATTAAACCTTAAGACATGGATTTTGAAGATAAGTGGCATTAGGATAAAAGAAGTAATATAACCTATCACAAATTGCAAATTGAACTTAACAATAAGTATTTCACTAAATGGACTTGTGCAGTGTGTGTGTGTAAACTAAACTTACCTGTACTAAGTTCATTCCTTCCACTGTGCTTCTGATTTCTTTAATAAGTGCAACTTTCTTGCTTTCATCATATTCGGTTAATTTTACTTGAAAAGAAGTTTGAACAGCAGTAACAACTACAGGAGTTGCTACTTCCTCTTCCTAAAATGAAGATTGTAATGTGTACACAAAGTTACATTTTTGTCTGATCTAACAACACCAAATACATAAAAACACTTTAATAACATCAGATTATTTACAGTGATACATTCATCATTATCATCAGTCCATTTGAATATTTATGATGGCCATTACCTGTGGTTCTTCTGGTTGGGCTGGCATACTTCCCATCATGCCCATTGGCATCATAGCTGGGGCATCACTTATATTTAGAGTTTTCTGAAAAGATAAAGAAAATTGGACTACTTGACTACGTTCATTTTCCATACAAAAATGACTGCAAATAAATCATTTACTCTTCGAGAATTATAAGTTGTGTTGAACTTATTTCATCTTCAAAATATTAATAATATTCACCAAAACAAATAGATTTTACACTGGATGATATTTTTAAGTGTGTGTATGTTATGACCCATGTGTAACAACTTGTCTAACAAGTAAACAAAGATAACTAATTAAATGTAAATGAACACATACTAGAAACCTTTTCCTAGCCATACAATTTTTAAACATGGTTTCACGCTTGTAACAAGATATATTAAAAGTAAATCTAAAATACATTAACACATTTTTTGTCCAGGTTATTCACACACATACAACATGTACTGCTTACTTTTAATAATGAATTCAAATCTGCTACTTCCTTTAGTGTGAGTCCACTAATTTCATCCACAATTCTTTGTATCTTATCCGAAATGGGCTTTTCTTCCCCTTCTACTGCTGCTGGGGGTAGTACACCTTCCTGGTGTAATTGTGACCGTACTGTTGACATACTGTGTTGCCTATGGCCTATATACAATACAGGAGAAGGACTGGCTGTCTTCTGAGGTATATACAAACATACTTGGTGCACATTCAACCTAAATAAAAAGGAGAAAAATGGTGAGCCATAAAAATAACTTGATACAAACTCCCGTGTTTCTTGGCATACAGGGTAAAGAGCATTAAGTTTAAGAGGCCATTCAGAAATGAGAAATGAGAAGAGCCAAGTGCTAGCTAGGCCACAACCTAAATTTGTCTTTAGGGTGTATACTTATATATTATCAGCTACAGGTCAAGTTATGGATGTTGGTAAGTATCACACAAGGTTATTCAATTACACAGGGTAACCTGGGTTCATACAGGAATGCTAAGAACAAACTCAAGGACTTTTGAGACTCTTATTCAAATACTTTTTAAGGAGTTTTTGATGCAAATGAAGGATTGTACTAGTGCTGTCATTTAGTATACATATCAAACATAAAAGGCAAGTAAAATTTCATTCAAACTTTGTAATAAACACATTAATGTTGAAACGTGAAAATGATTAAATCAAATTGTGTCCAAAAAGGGTATTCTCCCTTCCTGCAAATTATTGTCTATATTCAGGTCTAAATAACAAGATTTAAAATAATTTCTGACAAATCCAGTTAAGCCCTTTTCAAGGCAAACTGCAATTATCAGACCACAAACTGAATTCAAGGCACAGGGCTAAAATTCAATCGCTTTTAAAGGCTGTACAGTATAAACCCCTGTTAAGGATAATGTTACCCTTTATTATCATCCAGATATCGAAAATGAAATTTTTTCAGCATCTAATTATTCAATAATGCATCTATCTTTGTGCTGATTTGAAACAATGAAAAAAAAAACCCTTGAAAATACAAAACATCGGTGTTATATTTCTTGTTGCAATGTACCAGTATAAGCATAGGCAACTCAAAACTTTAACCATCAATTTAACACCTTTTTATTTCGAGGTGAGATAGCAATTGGCATGGGGCATAACTTCACCCCTGAACAAAATTTTATCAAGAAAATTGGCAGAGTGGAACATGACTCAGACTAAATGGGCTACAATCCCATGCTGCAATTTGATTTAAATGTTTTTGTTATGGAGTTATGAACATGAGTTAATTACAGATTATCATTAAACAAGGGTATTATTTTGCTTTATCAATGATAAAATCTTAATGAAGACTCAAAAAATTGCTGGCAGGGTTTTAGAGTACTAAATAGCGTCATTAAATTTGGGTGGAAATAGAAATCGTGGGTGCTCAGGTAAAAGAGAAATTTGAGAAAAGGATTTTTCAGTTCTTACACCAAAATCGCAATTATGACAACACCCGTAAGATGACATATGTATAAATCGTAATTAATTTAGTCACTGAACACTGAAGATTTATCTATTACCTGAAAGAATGTATGTAAGGCAGTAAATAAGGATTTTGGGAGAAGGGTGATAATGTCCTTAACTCATTGAACGGCAGAGGCACTGATTTACACCACCTTACAACTTAGTTTTGACACATCAAAAATCGAGTAATTACATGAATAATTTAAAGGGCATATTGCACATGTGTCGCTGATTTGTAGGTAAGTACTAATCACTGATACTTGATTGCGGTTTACAATATTACTACTTGCAAATACACTGAAATGTGTACAGTCCAAAATGTGCACGCAAAGATGGCAAAGAATTTAAAATGAAGATCACAATCTTAGACTCCAATTAGGTTTATATGACAACTTACCTTTTTTGAGATGCTCTTATGCACCATGTTTTCAATATTACTCGCGATGACAGATGCATTTTACTACTTATATTTTACAACGTGACCCAAACCCCCAGACTGCACATGTAACAGAAGCAGCCTCGCACTGAATAATGCCATGTTGATAAAATCACATTAATTTTTTTGAAAATCAATTTATACTGAAATTAATGATTTTATTTTTATTATAAATGTAAGTGATGTATTTTTATTTTTGTCTAAACTTAATTGGAATAGTTTTGATTGGTACAAAACATCACCGCTTTGGCACTGACCCTTTGCATATAATTGTGCTAGGTGCACTGTGTTCTTCACAGAAAAACATTTACCACAACTGACGCACTCAAAGGCAGCACACCTTTTCCACTCACATACCATCAAAAAATTCTAGATTTTTATTTATTTCCGCATCATTTGTATTTTGCTTTAAGTTGTTTAAATTCTATCAACTTAATAATTATCAAATTATGCTGTTTTAACAGCTAAAAAGTTCATAATGTACTTTATTAACTGTAAACCATCATTTGAGGTGCAAAATTGATGACATGATTTCATTCCTTAAAAAAATTATCAGTTTTACTTTTTCTTCGTCAACATATCAGTCTTGGTGAATATCAAAAATAACTATGACTAAGTCTAATGGTTTTATTTTTTCTTTAAAAAATTGATGAACAAAACAAAGGAAAAGACTACATTCAAGAAAACTGTAAGTAAATCAGTTTTATTTAAATTAATGATATCAAATAGTAAAACATATTTAGGCAGTGGTATAACATGTCAGAGTACTGCTGCATTCATTATCAAACATCTTTTTTCATAATTAAAGGGCTTACACCTTTTCATATGAAATTTATATTTCACAATAAATAAATTGTAAACAATTCATAGAAATATAATATATTCTATTTTACCCCAAAAACGGCATTTATAGCAATTATTCTGAAATTGGTGCTTGTCATCAGACTATGTGACCTCCATAAATAGCTAAACTCTGTAATTATCTCTTAAGAGATCATTATCTCTTAAGAGATTATTACAAAAAAACAAAACAATCTTTTTAGAAAAAAACAAAAAAACAAAACAGGAACTAGCTCTGTAGAGATGCATTCATTAACCATTGGTAAACTTGTATGGGAAATTTGTCATTTACCCCAGGAAAATTCATTTTTTGGCCAAAATGTTGTTATCCTTTTAACATAAAGTGAACAAGGACAGATGTTCCTCAAAGACACACCTCTGCAGTCCAGAAAATTGTGGCCACTCAAAATATTAGCCCATGGTCACATCAACAGGTAAGGAAGTATAGCAATATTTATAGAAGGCTATATCTCCATGGTCTACCACAGACCAGTGAAGTGGTACACCATCACTGCATTGCTTCTGTAACCCAATCAACTGACCAAGGTCTGGAGGTTTTTCTGATGAGCTGAAATGTTAGACATTTGCCAAAATAGTTGTTCTTTTAAATCTAAGTTTTCTGTAATGTAACTGCAATGTATGGATATGGACATTTTAAATACTCTCTTCTCTAGTCTAGACTTTAAATCAACCCAAAGAGTACACTGCACCTGAAGACAAAAATCAGAATTGCTATCTACCCGTTTACTGAAATGTACAAGTTAAATAAATAATATAATAAAACTCTTCCTACCTAATTACGCATATCCTATGATCTGGAAGACCTGGCTGGGACTTTTTAAAGTTGGAGTCTGGTTTAAATACATCAAAACTTATTTTTCTGCTCCCAGTAACTACAGATAGTTTTCTGAAACATGCAATTAAGATGAAGCATAAATAAAAGAAAATTTATGCAGAATATTAAATTGCGAATACAATTTTAAGCCAATGATATTAACTTGTAAAAAAAACTTTTGTTTCTTAAAGCAAACTATTGATTTACTTGTTTTTCTTGCTAATATATATAAAAATAACTTACTCTTTCTTCTTATTTTGGTGGATATTTTCAATAACTTGAAGATGCTCTAGTAAATTACCTATGAAAAACATAAATAATCATATATATATATTTGTCTTTATATGCTAGTTTTATAAGTACACCAAAATGTTTCTTTATTGTCTTTTCATATGATAGGGGAGACCGGGGCTAGTTAGACCCTGGGGTAAGTTGGCCCCCTGTCAATTTATGAAAAGGCAACTATGTGGTAAAAAAAATTGATCACATCATTTTGTAGTGACTGTATCCAATACATAATGCCAAGAAAGCGTCAGCTGTAAAAAAGTTATATATACAGCGCTGAGCCCAAATGAAAGAATTCTGCATCTTAATGTAACTTATACCCCGTTCACACTACAGTTGCCAAAATGCGCATTTCTATAATTCGGATTTTTCGTAAGAAATCCGATTCGGTATTGCGTTCACACTCGGTAAGCGAATCCAAATCCCACGTTGAAAATGTCAGGTTTAACTTCCTGTTTTGAACACTTGCGCATGCGCCACACAGGAAATCTTAAAATATCAACAAAAATTTGTGACGACAAATGCAACTCAAAAGACATTCCAGCATTCTTGAGAAGTATAAGGTGGCAAAATAAGTTTGTTTCCTCATGTTGTAGTGAGTGGTGACCTCCAAATACGTTTGGTGCAATCGCTAAAGTAATAAACCAGCGTTCATAGATACCCGCACTTATCTGCACACATGCGCAGTAAGATCTGTACAGGTGTTGATTCCGGTAAGTTATCCGGATCGCCCTTAGAAATCCACCTCGCTTGCAGGATTTTGAAAATGCGCATTTTCAAAATCCTCTTGCGTTCACACTACTGCATTTATTCGAATTGTGACCTAATTCGCAACTTATCCGGATAACTGAGCGTAGTGTGAACGGGGTATTTATTAAAAAGATTTTAAAATCTATTTTCATAGGCTTTTGATGGAATATGCTATATGTATAGGGCATCAAACTGAAGCTCTTTATTTCAAGTTTCCAGCTGGACATACTCACCTGTACAACTAGCCATGTCAGGTGTAACCAATGGGGTGACCTCTCCTTGCCACAGCACCCCAACTGGAGACTGCTCAACCCTGAAATCTGTGACCATTTTCCTGCACTCTGCCTTGTATTCACTCCAGTTTTTAGCTTTCACCTGTGCCTTCATGACTGAGGCATTCATCAGGGAATATGTTAGGTTATTTGTTGTATAAATATGACTGTCATCACCATCATCATCTTCATCATTGTCACCTGTGGCATTTTCACCAGAGGAATGTAATTTATGCACATCTACCATGCATGAATTTGGATTTATTTTCACACCAGAAGGGAGTAAATTTTTTCGAGGAGGCATCATTTGCAATGTATGTGTTTGCAAATCCTTTCTTCCAATATCTGGGAAGTTGATTTCATCAAAGTTCCACATCGTATATGGAAGGAAGTGTTGTACAGATTTTTTTGGAAGCGTACCAGCCTCCAACTTATCTGTTTTTTCAGTAGAAGCAATTGGTATATCGTTATGAGTGGCATCAGATGTCTGATCAGGGATTTTGTCACACAACTCACTACTCTGTGCATTCAAACTTTCTTCAGTTTTGCTTAATTTTGAAGCCGTATTCCCTGCATCATCCATATTTTTTCTCTTTTTGCTGTATGAAATGTCACTAATGTGCTGATCCAATCTGATCTGCCTCTCATATGCTGTCACAGAAGACCTGGGAATAAATGATCGTCCAAATGTTTATTTTGTATCATTTGTTAATCCAAAGGTGGCCATTAAATAACAATATCACTGGAATAAAGGCACATACATGCATGATAATACACATGTATAAACACACACACACACGCACACACACACACATACACAAACACAAACTCATAGACAAACATTCAATAATAAAAATGTAAATGACATAAATTATATATTTTAATACTCACGGTCCAGAGTGTCTCATGACAATATAACCCAGCCGGGATAAATAAGAATACGTCTGGTACTCCCCCAAGGTCATGGACTCTGACAGAAACATGGAATAAGCCTGTTGAATACTCAGTGAGAGACCAGCATAGTAGACTTCTAGAGAGCACTACAAGATACAAACCAAAATAATACCTTATTTATCAGTGGTTTATAGGCAATATTCCTAAGACCTATACACTAACAGCAGGCTGACTATTGATTGAAATGCAGTTATTGGGGGTTACTATTTTTTAGCATATGTGTAAAAGCAGCCATATCTTACCACTTCCATGAGGAACAATGCCTCCTCTGGATAGAGGCACAGGTGGTCACCTTCAGCATAACCCATGTGGTGAAAAAATTTGCCCTACAATGGAGATTTTGCTTAAGTCATTTGTTAGTGTTATTAAGTCACAAAAGTGACTATTTGATGTTACTACAGCATGAACTCTTTTGCATTTTTTTATTATTAACATTACTTTTAATATGAGGTATAGACAAGTCAAGTAGATCCTTTCTGATAAACTAGCTGATAGGGTGAGGCATAAATGCTTCAATAAATCTTGTCTGGTGCATTATGATTTTTTTATATAGATTTCACAGTATGCACAACAATATACTTACAGTTTGTTTCAGTTCGATAACCCTCTCTTCAGGCTTCCATTCACCTCGACACAAGGCACCACTGAAATGCAACTAGTTATATTGAGAGTTCATGTGCATTTAAGTTGGCACCATAACTGTAAAATCATTATTATTGTTGTTGTTGTTGCCAAGAACCAGACAAAATCTGATAAAATCCAACTTAAAAAATGAGGTACAGTACAACTTAAATACACACAAATAAATTTTTTTTTATTCTCATGCTGTCTTAAAAAAAGAATGGTACACAAGGTTTGTTGATATACTGCTCTACATCTTATACATACATTCTGCCCACTTTTTCTTCTTGTAGTACTTCACGTCTTTCTACAAAAAATTTTCTCCAGTTTTTTGTCTTGTAGCCATGATCCGTCAGGGGCATAGTCTTTGTGTCCGCCTTTCTGTGGCAAGTCTGTGTTCCTGTCTCTATATTTAGAGAGTTCCTTTCCACTGCAAGTGCAATAAAATACCAACAATAAAAAAATTAAAACATGCAAATAACTTATGAGTTATAACATTGCCATCTGAATTCAATTTCGATCAAATGAACTCTGTCCCATACTACAAAGATAACACATGTCATACATACTGTCAATGCATGTAAATAAAACATGCCAATGTTATATTGAGCATATTTCTATAATTTACCTTAATATCTTTGCCATTTGCAACCCAGCTTTCAGTTTCACGTTCCACGCTTACAAACAGGAAGTTTACTTGCGGTTGCGCAGTAGGTCAATTCTCGCCATGTTGAATACTTCCTGCACGTTCAGCAATGTTTATGTTTGATTGATCGTTAAGCTAGAGAATGAAGTTACGTGAATTGTGATATTTTCCTGGAGAGATTACCATGGAAAGTAAGTTGCATTTACCTGGCCTGGCCAACAACCCCATCTTCTTACAGTTTCTATGTCTACAGTCTGTCTATTCTCCAAGTTTTCCAGTTTTGACAGCTGATTGAGCGTCGTACATGTCGTACATCTTTCATCGATCCTTTTGCAATATTTAACTTAACTCATATATACTACGCCTTGTAGTATGTAGTAGCTTTCCTATATTTATCTTTTTATTGCCTTGTCAAGTTTGGTATTGGTCCATGATCCAGTTTGGTAATGCTTTAGTCTTTTTATTCAATCTGTGTGCAGCAGTGCTACCAGTTCTGCACACCGTTTGTAAGTGACGTTACATACTGGGGTAAAGCTTAACTTACTAGTAAGTGATATCAGAGAGCCTGGGTTTGTGAAAGACAACCATTGATTAAGTTTGATTTATCTTTTTTATCTTATATTGAAGGAGGGAGAAAGCAATGGGGCCAAGGAGGGTATGCCAAAGCTCACATAGTCAGTGAAGATGAAAAAGTATGTGGTCATGTCTGTTTTGTGCTGTGCAACTGTCATTCTTTCTATCAGCGGGTTTTTTATTTTTCATTCGTAGATTTATTTAGTAATTTAGATATATATTTCAACATTAACTGTAAGCAGAAAACACATTTTTCCTAAAGTACTTAGATATTCTGTTGTCAGGTAAAATTTTTGAATTATAGTTGCAGTGGTGGTGTTCTTTTTGTTAGGTGTATTTTGTGGTCCATCTAGCTTATCAAATCTTGTTACAGGTTAAAGCAGTAAAGGAAGAGGTGCCAGCAGGCTATGAAGAATACTTGCTATTACTTCAACAGAGAAATAGGTAAGTAAATGTTACCACTTGAGCCTATTGTTAGAGGATGCTTTCATTCAATCTAACTTGTTAGTGTCAAGAGACAAATGAATCCAGTCATATAAGTTAATTTATTTTTCTTCTTTCCTTCAAACAGATTGGTGAAAAAACTGAAGAAGAAAAATAATAAAGAAATTGAACTTGAGAGGAAAGAGCAAGGGTTCTCACTGTATGTGAATGGAGCTAATACAGGTGCTAGGTCCAGGATGGGAGGGAAGGCCATTACCCCCAGCCCCAGGACTATCAAACCCACTCCTAAGCCTAAGACAGCAGGGGGTAAGTTGTGGAATTGAATAAGTATTATGTATTTGAACATGTAGTGTAAAAGCTTTTTTTCAACATAGTTAAAATAATACTCTTGCAATTATGGATAATACATGTATATACTAGTACCTATATAAACTACATTTATACAGTAATGACTAATAGTCAATAAATAATTTTTCAGATATTGCCAAAAAGAGAAACCTAGATATGCATGATCTGGCAGAATTAGAACGATTGGAGCAGGAACAGAGTGAGAAAGAGAAGAGGGCACAGACAGCTCCCAGTAAGGTGCACAGGAAAAATTGGCTGGCAGGGTCAGTTCAGATAAAGACAAGCGGAGGGGACAAAATGAAGATTAAAGCACCTGGTGAGTCTTGTGTCAAATTTAATTTATCATTGACTCATTGTCATATTCTCTGACCACAGGGTCCGCTAGTACTCTGTTACAGAGTTATTGTATTGCACCCTGTGGGAACTGAGATGTTCAAGAGGAGCGCATTCCTCATCAGACATACCCTTTGTATTTGTCACTGTGGCAATTTATGATAATATGCTGTAGTTTTCCTAACAATGCGGTTATTCAAGAAAACAAATGGAACATTTCAGTCACGTCACTTTTTGGTACACACTTTTAGTATAATATTTGCATAATTTTTGCTTGGTCCATTATTTTCTCTAGAATTAACTTATTTTTTATTGATAAATTTCTGCAAATTTTACCAAGTGTGCATTTTAAAGAATTTTTTCTAGAATTATTGACAGGAAACTATGAAGATGACTTTGAGGAGGAAGAATTAAGTAATGAATCTGATGATGGAATTGATAGTGAAGATGAACATGAGGAAGTAAGTAACTAACACTTGATTAATATTTGGTGAAGGTTTCATTGCTGTACAAAATATAGATTTTTGATATCCACACATTCTTATGATATTGTACATCCAGAACAAATTACCCTGATTTTTACATGAATGTTTCAAGTTAATGTTTGCAGTAAGTGTCCTTACAAAATGTATAGGTCTATATTCAGTGGAGGTGTTTGAATCTAGTCAGCGATTTTTAAGTCAGACATTTCCATGGAATTGATTTAAATCAGTTGGGAAGAGTTCAGAATGGAATATTAATAGGCACCAGAGCTGAAATTGATATTGCATGGTTTTGGCTAGAGAAATCAATGCAACCTGTCATATTGATAAATCATTGCTGCCACACTAACATGTTTAAGTGGTGTTTTCAGCTAAGTGTTTCTCTTTACCTTTATCATGGGCTTTTGACACCCTCATAACTCATCATCGTGCAATATTGATAGTGATGAGCACTTAATCCATATCTGTGCAGCTAACCAGGCACATGAGCAGATTTGTGGACAGCCACAGTGGAGAGGACAGTAGTGACTTGGAAATAGATGCTTCCAAGTTTGACCAGGGGATGGGAAATTCTGAAGACAAAACTGCAGCAAAGAAAGAAGAAGAAGAAGAGGAAGACGAAGATGAAATTAGTGAACACCTCATGCTTAGTATGGATGATGTAAAGGTATCCATGGTTTACTAATTTGAAGGGATAAGTGGTGGTATTGGAACAAGATCCATAAAGAATGTTGTTGCATGAGAAAATCAATCAGGGTTAGCAGTTTTCTTCAGCATTTAAAGATTGTAGTTTACATTTCAAACAGATTTCTCTATTAACAAATTTTGTGAAAGGCTTTTTCACACACACATATATATATACACACACACTTGCATGCACTGGTGTGCATACACACAACAACAACAAAAACTTGTTTACTTTGTATGTTTATTTTTTTCTTATCAGAAACTAAGGCAAAGCATGGAGTTGCATGCAAGTATACAACAGAGCATTGCTGAGGAGATAAGCAGTGTAAGGACACATGCCTTCTTGTATATTTCTAAAAAAAACTATTTAGAAAATATTGAATGGGCTGAATTATTAATAAAATTATTTCATTAATTAACAAGTATATGTTGCATAAAATCCATCAATTTTATGATTTTCTTGCTTTCAGTCTAATGAGAATAATCATTATGAAGTAGTAAATGTAATTTATGTCATTGAAAAAATTTTAAAATGCTCCATGTAAGTGAAAAATGTGTGTTGAAGAATCATATATGCTGCTGATTTCACATAGGGAGAAGAAGAAACTGGAGGTCAGAGTCCCATACCAAGGGGAGTGACAGAGAAAAGAATTGCTGAGGTAGAGGAAGATGTGGTAGCAGAGTCTTTTGAGAGGAGGAGGAGAGAAGAAAAGAAACATGTGCCACAGTCACAGCAGCCAGTTGAGAAAGGAAAGAGACAAAAACCATTAGAGGAGAATCCGTGGGCTCCAGGAGATATGATAGTGCTGGAATTTGGTCCCAGCATTGGTACAAAATTTTCATATTTCCAATTTCCAATGTACTTGATCCAGAGTTTGTGTCAGTTATGTAAAATAAACAATGAAAAAATAATGTATTGAGTTTGGATTTTATCTTTAATTTATAGGTTAAGAATATGCTTTCCCACTGTTTATTTTATCTGGTTGAGTCGAGTGTATTGAATTATTTTTGAGGTTTTAAATTTGTTTCAATAGATTATGCTTATTTACTTGAAGTTGAAAATCCACTGACATTTTAAAAGTGTGTGGAAATTTCAACTTTTTTTAGTGTTTAGTAAATTTACTGTTTTTACTTTTCAAGGTAAGAGAAAAGAAAGAGATTTGTCATCAGGAAAAAGAAGATCACTTGCAGAAGATACACCAAACAGAAAACCCCAAAAGGAGGATTCTAAGCCTGCTTCTAAAGATGTTATTCTGGCTCCTGGTAGGAGTTTGGCATTATTTTAGCAAATAAAAAAAGGAGACATGCCTTATTTTTGTTTACATATTAAACATATTTTTGAGGTTTTAGCATAGGCAGTTTAATTGAGCTTTTAGCAATTTCAGCAATTTCACATCTATATTGAAGTATTTTATTTATTTCCTAATCTCTGATATCATTTAATAAAGTAAAAATTTTACCTGAAATGCAGCATACCTGATGACTTAAAATTGAAATCAAAATATTTATGAAGAGCAATTTTATTTAATTTCAAATAACATATTGCAGACCAACCACTCAGAAAGCCAAGCCGTCCACTCTCTGCTAGTAAGAAGAGTAAATCCACCAGTTCCCAACTGGACAGCACAGTTGACCGCTCAGCTGTCCTGCAGGCCATCCAAGCAGAGAATGCAGAGGTGGAGAAATATGCCAGAGATACCAAGAGTGCTCCGTCCAGACAGTCACAGCAGGTGGGCAAATGTTTGGTTTTGTCTTTATTCTTTTTTGTTATTGTTGCTGTTTTTTTTTTTTAAACTTTTTTTGTAATATCTTTGTGCCACTGATTATAGATAGGAGATGAGTGTAGAATTATTCAAGATGTTGTAGTATGTTTTCCAGTCAGTAGTGAAAAGGGAGGGTTGGGTGGAATGCACGATACATCAAAGTTTGCAAATCAGTGGCAGGCAGAAAAGGAAATAACAGCATGTTTTGAATATTTATTTATCTTGAATTAAATATAAAATGAAAGGGAGCATCATAGCTATTACAAATTTAGTCTCAGAATTATATAAAAAATTGGTATTTCACTTTTGTTGTCAGGTGATGGGCATTTAGATCAGATAAATATGGTAGAATATACTGTTTTAGTGTTTTAGAAATAACATCTTACCTTTCAGGTATCTCTGCCAATGAATTCTAAATCAGAAAATGTCCGTCCAAGCTCTGTGACTTCCAAGCTGCCAGAGAATAAAGTCCCTGATGCAGCAGAAAACATTCCAGTAGATGTCTCTCCACCACAACTTAGTGAGGAGAAACTCACCAAAGTATTAAAGAAAGTGCTTCAGATGGAAGGGAAGTAAGTATAACTCAAGGAGTTCCATTGTTTTATGTTACACATAAAAACATTCTAACTTGTATTTGCTATATTTTGACATGCAGTGATGTTACACTGTGTGCTGTTGTAAAGTGTGCTGCCCAGCTCACCAGTAGTCATTCATGTTCCCCCTGTTATTTCTTCATGCATCTAATCATGCAAAATAAACCACAAATATAAAATTACTTCCTAGGCAGCAGAAAAAACTTCTCAAAGCACTGTCCAAGATTGAAGACACAGCCTCTGCAGAGAATTCACCCAGATTATCCTCAGAAGCTATGTCCAAGCCAAACAGCCAGGATGTTGCTGGAGTGGAGGAACAAGCTATTTCACATTCCTTCGACAAAAAACGAGGTGGTTCCATGAAGAGGCAAGTGGCAATTGACAGGGTAAGTGCTGTATTTAGTGTACATTTTTTTCTTTGTAATTTGTATGAGATTCTGTAAGATATGATAAGCTTCTCAACAAAGAGAATTTTCTACTGGTCTTCATCTTCCAGGTATCTCCTAACCCAGTTCAATCAGAAGATATAGTTGAGCTTCACCTGGTGCTGCTTTCTAACTGGGGACACCCGAGCAGAATCGGCCTCACTGAAATCCAGGCATTTGATAGTGAAGGGAATAGAATAGACCTTACCTGTGGGGATGTACAGGTTTATGGTGCCAAGGACTGCAAAGGGGACTTAGACAATCTGTTTAACGGGAGATTTAAGGTAAGGAACAACTTGTGGAAATTAAATTTTTAAATTTGTTATAGAGATGCTGTGATAATTCAGAAGGTTAGCTTGGGAATCTAATATTGTTTTATTTTCTGTTTTTCCTACTATTTTCTGTGATACATCACTAAGTTAAAAAGGGAATACATATATGTTTATGTATTATTAACAATAGTCTCTTCTTTCCTGCAGGGCTTGGTCATATATCAATATTTGTATCTGTCTGAAGTACCAAATCATAGGATAAATAGAAATCTGGTAATTTTGTAATATCTATATTTTATGTCTTCACTTTCTTCAGACTACTAAGGAAAGGAATATGTGGAGCTGCTCTTTTGTACCTGAGAAACCAGTTGAGATCACACTCAATGTAAAGCGAGGCAAAGACAGCTCTAAAGAATTTGGAATCTCGAAGTTAAGAATATGGAATTATAACAAGAGTCTCAATGTGAGTGTGCCATGCTTAAAAATCTAGTGTCACTAAATGAATTACCTGGACAGGTGTTTTGAAGGCTTCATTTTGTCATAGGTTGTAAATATATCTTAAGTAAGAAGAGAGGAGTCAATTTTTTAACATCAGAATATTATAAAATGCAACTGATTTTTTTTTAGTACAAGGAAGTATATAAGAGGTGTTTTCTTTGCACATTCCAGGAACTTTCAGTTGGAGTTAAGGCTATGCAAGTGTTTTTGGGGGCAGAGTTGATATTCAGTGGAGACATAGACAAAGGCTGTGGAAATCAGGTGTTTGACTACAGTAAGACTATAATATTAAGAGAGGATGATACCTATGAATCAAATCAAAAGGGAAGCGATAGTGCAGCTGTGGGTAGCCAGCTGGCACAGGGCAGAGTTGAAAGGAGTATGGATGTCAATAGATCTGTGACTGTCACTCTCAGTGACCACTCTCCAACCAGGCCCGAGACCAGGACACTAGATCACTCCACAGGAAACTTACAGTTACCAGTGGTGGATGACACCACAGCCTCAACACACGTCAGAGGTGATCATGAGTTTATATTAAATGAAATTAACATAGAATGTTTGCTGTATTCTTTTTTTCTGTTAGTTTGTTTAACTTAGAGGGTTGAAAATAAATGATTGCTCATTTAATTGCATATTTTTTATCAGTTGCTTTTTAGTAATTTTTAACTCCTTTAAAACAGTATTTAGGAGTTTGTGATTAGTTACTGTAAACATGTTTTCTGTGTTTTGTTAAAACAATTTTTCTTCAATTCTGTACATATATGTGTTGATATTGCATTTAAGCATCAATCAAAGCTTCAATATCAAAGGAGACCAACCAAAGTACCAACCCAGACCCCAAAGTGATAACAGCAAAATCTCCCAAAGTTTCTAAAAGAATGGCAGCAAATTTTGACCCACATTCGAAAGACCAGCCTTCTCTTAGTCCAAGAAAAAGTGACAGGTACTTAAATGAATTGGTTTTGCAATATAAATAAAACATTATTTGCCTACGTAAAAACTTATTGATAAGGATTGTTCTGTTAAGTAATAATGTTAGATATGTAGATTTATTTGTTATCCAGAGAAATTATTTTCACTCTTTAGTTTATTTTTACTGCAGAAAAAAATTAACTGTGATTAAAGAAAGTATTAAATTCATTTTGGGTTTTTAGTAATCCAAAACTATCCCAAAGTAAATCCAAACAGAAGAACCCAAAGGGAATAGAAAAGACACCCAAGGCTGATGAAAAAACAATAACACCAGAGAAAAAGACGTCAAAGGCTAGTGAAAAGACACCAAAATCCAAGGAACCAGTATTAGCCACAGATGTGCAGGACTCTGTCAGTGACAGCATGGATGGGGTCTCCATGTTACAACAGATACAGGAAATTACTAAGTATGGAGAGAATACAACATAAGCCTAGTAGATTGAAATTAATAATATATGTTTAGCAGATGAAATGCCAAGTTGATGTAAAGGTATAATTGATAACATTGGAAGATAATGTATTTAATAATATATTGCTCTAGATGTGGTGTGATTAATTAACCTTGATCTGTAGACACATATAGTCACATTATTAATTTAACCTGTGTGTTGTGTTTGCAGTGAGACAATTTTATACTGTGTTTTCAATAGCACTTTGATTTTTGTATCACCAAAAATGTCTTCTTCAATCTTCCCAGTAGTAGAGCTGGTAGCCGTAGCCCAAGCAGACCCCAGTGGCTGGAATCTAGTGTAGAAGCCAGTAGACCCCAGTAAACATGCTTCCTAAGTACCCGTAGTGCCATCTTCTGGCAGCAAAATATATCAAAATGTTTTAGTTGCAAATCTTTTTGCTCATGTTGCGTTCATGAAAAGATGCCTGTCATTGATCAGGTACAAAAATTATAGCTTATGCTGATTTATCATGATTTTGCCTATAATTTTGATTAATAACTTGATAAAAATGGTAATGATGCAGGTAAGAGGCAAAATTTAAGTGATTGATCTTTAAAGATTGGTGGTAATGATGCAGCTGAATATTTATAGTGCTAAAATTTATACCGCACATGGTGCTTTTACAGCATTTATTTTCCATCAGTCGGTACATGGATTTAATTCATTTTCATATTTTGCCACTAGGAGATGGTACTAATATATGTCCTTATGTACTGAACAAATGCAAATCTCACTGAGAAATATAAAAAATATGTTTGTTCTGTTTGCCTTTTCTTAAAAGTGTACACTAATTCATTACTAAAAGTTACAATAGTACTGTTGTGGAATTTTTGTTTGAATATCATGTGTGTCTTTTATTAACAAATTAACTTTATGAATTTACAAAATTATTTAATCATAGATATTTTGCTGTTGACTCTGATTATTTTCGCAAAGGAAAATTTGGTATACTATTCATTTTATTTGTGTTTAATTTGTTTTTTTCATTGATAGGTGTCTTATGTATAATGTTTTAATTGTTTGTTATTAGTAGTGGACCATCAAAGCCTAAGGAAGTCCCTAAGTGGTTAAAGGCAGAAGAAATAACTGGTGAGATATATTTATTTACTGAGCAATATTTTAAAAGGTCAAGAATTATTTCATGCTGAAGATAGTTGGATGGATTAAAAAAGGTGCAAAATTTAACATTAATTGTGTTTTCAATTCTCAACCACATAGCTCCTAGTTGTACATCTGATTTTGGAATATTGTATTGGCCAAGGTATTTACACAAAAAGATACATCATGCATAATGACTTTGATGCACTGTGCATTAAGTGACTGTGAGTCATTTTCTTGCAGACCCTTTCATTGCTCCCCCAGAAAGCAGAGCAGGGTCACGTTCCAGCGCTCAGCCTCAGACCATAGATGATGCCCTGCCCATGTGGCCGAGTGCAGGGTCAGTGTATGATTAGGGTTTGTTAATTGTAAAAAGTCTTTAAATTTATTCTCTGTCAAATGGGCAATTTAAAAGTGAACAGTTTATTGCATGTCAACCTCAGACATTAGTGAAAATGATTATTTTTCAGATAGTTAATGGTAATTGCCTGTTGATGTCAAACTAACTGTGTTTGTAGACTAGGATTTTCAAACTGAATGCACTGTTGTTATTTTCAGAGTGGAGGCACTGCCCACTGTCCTGGACCCAGACACTGACGGGAAGAGGGACAGGAGAAAGCATACCCCAGGTTGATGTGCCTTTTAATTCAATAGACCTTTTTATGAAATAAGCAAAAGAAAAAATGATCTGACTTGAAAAGCTATTCTATAATATATACCAGTTAGCTCTGCTTCTTTAAAAGCATTTCTGTTCCATATATTTTGGCCAAGACAATTATTCTTTCATTTTGATTGTTTTGATAGCATTTGAATTCTGTATTACTGAATTACAATTACTGAATTTGGCTGAGATCTGCATCACAACATAATGACTGAAAGTATAATCTGTAATCTGCCATATTGTTTGCCGCCTGCTTGATGATATGTTTCCTTTACTCTGATTTGTTACATGTAGTAGTCTGATTGAAATCTTTCCTTCACTATGAGTGGTCAAAAACCATGGATCACTTCCTTGAGAATGTTTAATGATTACACCAGAGTTAGATGTTCAGTTTTATTAGATCTCATATTCCATGATTCAAGGCCCAATTTTTATGCAAAACGTAAAATAATAAGATTTAAATTCATTCAAGTGACTTTCAGCTACTCTCTGTATGTTAGAGTAATATTCCTTGTGCATGTTATATTTCCATAAGATCATGTCGCTGATGAAAATGAAGAATTAAGATGGAGGCAAAGGCAAGTCTCCATAGACTCAGACGATGAACCACCAATGAAGAAAATTGAGCAGAAAAGAGAGAATCACAGGAATAAGATGAAACACCTCAAGGAGTTTAGTCTTGAAGAGTCTTGGACATCACTGGACTTATTTTCAAAGTCTCATAAAGGAAGGATATCAGTAGATTTTGAAGGTGATTGCAAAAGACTCAACAAATCCTTTTTTTTTTTTTTTGTAAAATACTTCATAAAAGAAGAAAATATTTGATGGAAATTGATATCATAATTATTTTGATAAATAGTGTCAAGAAGATTTTTTCTCAAAGAATCAACAATATAATGGTCAACTTTTGAGTTATTGCTCTTCTTAAAGGAACACATCTTAATTTTTTTGTATGACAATGTGATATTAAAGTTTCTAATTAATGTGCAGTTTGGTCTATTGATTGAATAATTATGTAAGTTATGATTTGTCAATTTTTTCAGGAGATGCTCTTGATGAATATTTGCAGTTGGAAAAAAAGCAGCCATTTGAACCGACAATCCAGGAAGAAACTGGGATTGAGTAAGGACAGACTGACAACACAAAAAATATAAATTGTGACAATCAAATTAAAGATTAAATAAGAGAAATGTCACACACATTAATCACTCTTTTTTCATTAAAAAAAGGTATACCTGGTCCTGAACTGTTGAGGCTGGTTTATGGAAAGTAATTCTGAGAACAGTTTTAGATATGGTATGCCTTGGTAATAAAGAAAAGTAATATTTTCCCTTTACAAAGGCCCAATGCTTATTGTGTGACTTAAAAAAATTTAATGTTTAAATAATTCCCTTTGTTTTATAGAGAGGACTTTATGATCCCTGAACTTCCATTTGGGAAAGAACTGGTGATAAATATCAAGTCTACTTGGGGTGATAAACACTATGTGGGTCTCAATGGTATTGAAATCTTCAGCAGTAAAGGGGTGCCAGTTCCTGTGGCAAAAGTAAGAGTATAAGAAATAAAGACTTTTTGTCTTCAAATGTACATTTAGGAGAGCTTGTGTACGTTTTCAGTAACATAATGCTATCATCAGTTGCCTTCCATTTTGCAAAATCCAACCAGTTTTTATAGAGATTGATTCAATATTTATGAAGCTCTTGATGAATATTTGCAGCATATATCTGTAGCAGATTTCCATCATCTGTTGTCTGTGGAAAATTCATTTTTCACCTACTGTATGTTAGTGATATATCATTGTGAAACATGTTTGATCTTGCAGATTTCAGCTAACCCACCAGACATAAATGTGCTGAATGATTATGGCAAAGATCCTCGTGTAGCAGCTAATTTAGTTGATGGGATCAATAGGACCAGAGATGACATACACATGTGGTTGGCCCCTTTTACCAAAGGAGGAAACCACTTTATATATATTACATTTGAGGAACCATGCAAAGTGGCAATGGTCAGGATATGGGTAGGTGACCAGATTTAGTTTTGCCTGTTGAGTTATTATATTCATAGTATGGATTCATGTAATTGGGGAAAAGATAATTCTCTTGTGAAGTAAATAATTGTCTTTATAACTTTCGGTAACATAGGAAAATTGAAGCCAAATCCATGAAATAAAAGTATTTTAGTGAAATAAAAGTATTTTCCTGGAAAAAGACACCTGTAATTTTGGGTAAATAGAGTACTACTGGATTATTATGTTAATTGAATATTGAGAACAGGATATAGGAAAATGGATCCTGGAATGACATATTTCTCTGAAAAGGAAATATGAGTTTCATCCATTCATTAAGCTAGCTTTTAATGGAGCTACTCATGGCAGAGCATTAGGACAAAGTCATGAATTTTCTGGATAATGTGCTTTGGTTTAAATTACTATTTTTTTTTTTATTTCAAAATAAAATGTTTCAGCAATGTGAAAAGGCTAAATATGGATGTAGTGATGGCATTCTTTTTTGTCCTACACCCTTGATCACCCAAGAAAAACAGGAATTGGTATTACTCACTTCTTTCTATTGTTCCAGAACTACAATAAATCCAGAATTCATTCTTATCGAGGTGCCAAAGATGTGGAAATGATGCTGGACGGCAGTTTCATCTTCAAGGGGGAGATAGCTCGTGCCTGTGGTGGGGTCATGGGAGGAACAGAAGCTTTTGGGGATGTGAGTATCTTCATGAAACAGGGATTTTAAAGATATATATATATATATATATATATAAATATATATATATATATATATATATATATATGTGTGTGTGTTTTTTTTCTTTCAAAAATCCCATTCATCTTAATATTTCAGAGCATAGATTTACCATGTATATCTTAGTGAGTGAAAATCTTTGCTCAAATTTAAGACTCTTTATTTTCTTGATATTACAACATTGGACATCAAAATAATCTCTTATCAATAAAAGGTTCAACAGTCATGAAGGTGCAGCCAGATTGAATTTAAAGTATTTATAGATTATGAATTTAAAGTATTTATAATTGCCGAGCTTGTCTGAAAATGTGAAACATTCTCGGAAATAGATTTTCTGCCTGGTAACTTTTAAAGTTTGAACCCAGAAAAGGTATTGTAAATCCTTGGACCACCTTGGCCGAATATAGCCGAAGTTGCTGCCAAATCCAGCCATACTGTATCTCCTTCCATCAGTGGCACAATCACTTGGTTAGATGCCATAGCATAAGGCTTGCCATATGCATGTACAGATACCAGGTTTTCAGTGTTCTTGTACATCCGTACCCATGATAACCCATTATTTGTAGAACTCACAGACATTGACAGAACATAGGTACCTGACAGTGGAGCTGTGAACTTGGAGGTCTGTTGGTTAAAGCCACTGCCTGTATTAGATAGTATTCTATCAAAGCTGATGATGGTGTCGGCATTCAAAGGTCCCATGGGGGTGGTCCTCATAACTGAGAAAGCCACGACCTTGGGGGTCACAGATGGGCATGAACATGTGCAGGAAACTTGGTCTGAACCTATAAACATGTATATGTACTGGTATGTGTGTATATATATGAAGATAATTATGAAGCTATGAAAAACTTTGTTGGAATAGAAAACGATTTGTCAGTTTTCCTGTAGTTTCCGACTATTTTATAAAACTAACAATAATCAACACTATGTTGTGTTCCTTTGTCAGAAGCACCCTATAACTACATGTTTTTGGACCACTTTCTGCTTCATTTGGCTGAGACTGAAGTGAAAGGTTACATGTATTATTTTCACCTTGCAGGGCAAATCCAAATTTGAATTCTTTGCTTTGCAAGGGTGTGGCTTGCCTTTGGTATATTAGCCCATGCAATCTGTATAGTCAATACTGCTTTTATATATAAGTAAAAAAATGTATTACCTGCACATTGCCCTTTGCCATATCCACTCAAAACTAGGCATACAATACATATTGCTGCTTGTACTTCATACATCATCTTCAAATATTATGCCTGCTGTAGAAACTGCCTGTTCTAGGGTTTGATTTGAGTAGTGCTTAAATACCTTGGCTGGACCAGTATCCTGGTGTTTTCAATCTGTGTTAAATGTGAGTGTTAAATGTCATCAAGGATAAGCATGATTGAGTGTAACCAGATAGATTTGCCAATTTCCTGGAAATTTATACGCCTACATTGAAATTCTGTAATTGTAAAATTATCTCTGGCAAGGATTATCTTACTTTGATGACATGGCATGCTTCATGTGTAGTTGTTTATTAAAAAAGTTTTTAAAAAAAAGGGTCTGTTTTTTTATGCACTCCATTACATCTCAGTGCAGTTTACACTAGATCATAATATGTGTGGCCTAATTTGGCCATGATTAAGACAGGCTGTAGTCACTCTAGCATCCCTTTGTACAATAATAAGAAACAGATATGATTTTATTGGCATTATAGAGCATGCAAGCGAGGCATTCAAATATTCATTTATGTCTCCATACAGAAACAGTAACTTTATTTTTGTGTCTCTCCCCATCTTAAATTTTGCTTTTACTAATAAGTTTCCAATACACCTGTCCACCCTGTGATTGCCAGATTTTTTGTTGTACTTTGAATTAACTGGATTTGTTAAAAATTCAAGACTAGCATTACACACTGCGAGTAATTTTACTAAAGTTTTGTGGCACTTTGTCTGCATATACATGTATACCAGTCTTTGCTGTCTAACACCTGTTTTACGAATAACTTTTTATGGCAATTTTAATTTTTCCTTTTTTCATTCTTCTTCAGACTATACTGTTTACTGTTGATGAGGAAATCTTGGAGGCTGTTTCACTCAATGATGAAGCTTATGAGGCAGAGGCTTTTAGTGAGGATGAAATGGAGGATGATGTGCCATTTGAAAGGCCAAAAACAGCTGATGAAGAGAACCAGGTATTATGCAGTTAACATCAAAATTTGAAATTTGAAATTAAGGCGTGTATTTGTGAGTTTTGAAATTATTGAAAAGACACCTGAATTAGTTCACTTATTTTAATAAATGATTCAGAAAAGTAAGAAAAAACTTTAATCACTATGCATTACTATTAATGTTATTTTCATTAGGTGTTTGCCTATAGTTTTGAACAAGCATTTAAAATGCTTAAGTAATGTACTTACAGGATCGCCCATTCACTTGTGCAGTAGGAACAAGAGGAAGAGGCAAAATTGAGACACAAGATGTCAGCACTGTTCAACCCCAAGATGATCATAGTCATATATCTTATGAAGGAGAATTAGTGGTCTACACTGGGCAGTGTATGCAAAGGATTATTAAATATTCTGAAACTATCCTTAAACATAAAATTTTGTATCAATAACATTTGATTTTTTTAGTCTTTAGAATGTCTAAGCTCATCTAAAAAGAGCCCTTGTTGCCAGGATTGTTAAGTGCATTTTAACCAAAAACATAGCCTCTGGACCATCAAATTAAAGTAAGTGACAGTCAAACCATGTTTAAAGGAAGAATAAAATACTTTACTGAAGCATAATTTGATGATCCAACTTCAGGTCTCCAGTTAAACTTCACCAGCACATGGGGTGACCATCACTACCTTGGTTTGACAGGGCTGGAGGTGGTAGGGAAGGATGGAGAGGCTTTACCTATTACCATGAATATGATAGATGCTAACCCCAGGGATCTCCATGTCTTACCAGGCTATGAAACTGATGACAGGACATTGGACAAGTAAGTCCTCTGAGGTTGGATGGGTATCTTTTATCAGAGATACAATGTTGAGATATGCACATGCACATGGATTTTGTAACTTTGAAATAATCTGACATGTTCCAGCGCATAGATATCAAACAATGGAGTGTTTTGTATTTTGACTTGAGCCTTCCTTCCAGGTGCACTTCACTTGAACAATCCAGTTACACCCACTGATTCACCCATTAATTAACAGTTTAAGGGATTTAATGCAGCCATATCATGATAGCCATATGAGTGTTTTCCCTGTTTTGAATCTTCCCTGTGGTTTATTGCACATCTCTCTTTATTTGTTAAAATGAGAAATCATTTATACTGGCGATATGTTATTTTCTTCTATGCAGGCTGATAGATGGGACAAACATCACTATGTCTGATGAGCACATGTGGCTAGTGCCATATACAGAGGGAGAAGACCACTTAGTGACAGTGGACTTTGGCCAGCCCACTGCCATGGTAGCTCTAAGAATATGGAATTACAATAAATCTGCAGAAGACACATACAGAGGGGTAAGATGCTCACAGATTTAACTTCACATATAAGGAGGAAAACAGAAAACCAGTTGTTGTTTTTTTTTTCTGAATTCAGAAAAGGGCTTTTCATTGTAATTTTTTCCCCTATTTTCTAGTGTCGGTATATAAGCAAAACAGCAATTTATTTTCATAGATGGGTTTGTAAATTTCAGGCCCAGATCTTGCACTGTACTCTAGATGGGAAAGTGATCTCTCCTCCCAGCGGTCACTTGGTCAGGAAAGGTCCTGGAAACTGCTTCTTTGATTTCATGCAGGAAATTCCATTTTCTCGACAACCAGAAGAAGTTACTTTCCCAATGCTAGATGGAAAAATGAGGTCAGTTGCCATTTGTACATGGTTTCAGAATTAGTCTTTTCTAATGAAGAAATTCAGGATTCTTTGTAGCGTTGTATTCTTTTAAAGGGATAATAACTCTTCATTTTGGCCAAAAAATGAATTTTCCTGGAGTAAACAACAATTTTCCCATACTTACCAATGGTTAATAAATCCATTTTTACATTCAGAGTTAGTCCCTGGTTTTTTTCTAAAACATTTGGTTTTTTGTTAAAATCTCTTAAGAGATTATAACAGAGTATAGTCATCAATGGGGATCACGTGATCTGAAGATAAGCTCAGATATCAGAATAATTGCTATAACTGCTGTTTTTGTCGTAAAAAATAATATATTATATTTCTATGAGTTATTTACAATGTTTTTATTGTGAAATATAGATCTCATACGAAGAGTTATTATCCCTTTAAACTATTCAACTATTTTTAATGTTCTAGCAGAATGGATTTCACAGGGCTGCATCTTTACACTGTTAAGATTCAAAATCGTTTTGCTTTTTGTTTTTTAATGAAAGTACATGTACTTTATGTAAAATACAAGTGTTATCTTTAGTGTATGGATGATGATATTGAGTATGTTTTCTTTTTGTGAAATAGGCAAAGTAAAGTAGTCACTGAAGAACCTAGTCAGGAGTATGAAGCTGTACAAATGCCTTGTGGGTGTATCCTTTCTGAATGATATCATTTTTATAGGATGAGTCCACTTTTCTATCCTGCTGGTTAAGTATATTTTCAGTGATATTCCCAGTTTTAAGGATAAAAATAATAGAGCCTTGTCAATTTTCATCAAAATGAACCTGCTATTTTTAGCAGAGAATACATTTGTAAACCGGCCTTATAAAAATTAACTTAAAAAGCCAAGTTACACAATAGTCAATACTCAAATTGGTTTGTGAATTAGTATATAAGATGACATGGGATGTATCCCAACATATGAACTACACAAGTATATTGTAAGATTTATAATCTACAGATGTCATCAGCTTTGTCTTTAACCTATTCAGTTATCTACCAACTCCATTTCTTGTCTACTTGGGGAGACCCCTATTATGTAGGCCTGAATGGCCTGGAATTTTATGATGCTGCTGGAAACAAGATTGACCTTGTGGAGAACAGTAAGTCAAAATAAAAACTACATGTATGTTTTCTTATTTTTTAAAATCTAAGTGAGTTTTGTTTATTGTACGTAAATCCATTGTAAAAAATGGTATAGAACTACTTATTTATATTACTTTATAAGCTATGCCTTATTGTGGGCAAATCAACCCACTGTTTAATATTGGTTGCAATAAAGAAAAAATATAAACTGTAAAAGGGAGCCCACTATTACTGCACTGGCCTTATTAATACAAGAAGCTTCTGATAAAAGAAAAGCTTTTCTCAACTGAAGGGCACCCAGTCACAATTATTACTTATATTATTTCATTTATTTACTTCTTAAAGGGCATAAAGGAAAGTTACAAGACGTACTCATCTTAATTATGCAGTTATTATATTGTAGTTTAATGTTATGTATTGTAGCATGCTGTCATATTCAAGCATGTGCACACGTGTGTGTGTGTGTGTGTGTGTGTGTGTGTGTGTGCATTTTTTGCCAGTACAGGCTGGTGCATAAGTCACACAATAAATATAATGGAGAAGGTAAAACTGCATTCCATAAAAGCCCATGTTAGCAAGAAACACCAGACAAGAAATATGATTACTGCTAAAAAAACTCCTGTTTTGCAGATATTGCTGCTTATCCTGATAGTGTTAATGCACTTGATGGAGTTTCAAATGACGTGAGAACTCCAGACAAACTAATTGATGGTGTTAATGACACTACAGATGGAAGACACATGTGGCTGGCACCTATACTTCCTAGCTTGGTAGTTTTTTTCTTAACATTTCCTGTTAACATTTTCAGTAAAGTTTATAATAGATCCAGTACAGAAATTTCTTCTATTTACTTTTATAGTCATTATGTTAACTGTTGATTGACTTTGAGATAAACAAGAGGCAAGCTATACTTTAAACAACTCGTGTTATTGGTTGATAACAAATTGATAAAAAGTCAATTGTGTTGGCAATTGTGTTGAAATTTATGTTTCAGATGAACCGCATATTTGTGATATTTGATGAGCCTCGGACAATTTCTATGATCAAACTGTGGAATTACAGTAAAACTCCTACTAGAGGAGTGAAAGACTTTGCAGTAAGTGTTTTTATTGATAGACTTGTACTCTTTTGGTTCAAACAAAATGTTAAGGTACCCATTGCATTTTTACCTTTATATGTCGGAGATGTTATGGTGATTTTAATGCACACTTAACATTTTTACATCCAGTAATTAAAAGGCAGTTTTCTGTCTATTACTGTAGATAAATTCATTTGTAGCAATGATTTTATTTCATCAACTTTCTTTTAAACTCAACAAAAATGGTCATACAACTCTGCGATTCCATTGCAGCTGTTGGTGGATGACTTGCTAGTATATAACGGACAGATTGGTCCCGTCCAGAGTGTTGCCCGAGGTATCCTGCCGACCTGTGACCTCCCTCAGCCTTACCACACCATCCTCTTTACAGATGACAAACACATAGCTCAGAGAGAAAGGCATACTGTGATCAAGTAAGCCCTTTGGACATGTCTGGTTTTTGGTTGGTGATAATTAGTTGGTGATGCTTGTCATGGGTATTTTGTATTACTGGCATATTTATATTCCACTGCCTTTCAAGAGTATGTGTATTTTCTTCTTGCATTTTATACGAATTGTTTTTCGCTTACCACATGTAGTAGTGAATACAAAACACTCTCTTTTAGAGTGAATTTTACTGTTACTGTAACAGTGGCTACATTTTTCAATATGTATTATAGAATTATCTTATCAAATTTCATATCTTATCAGAGTTAGGTTTTTCATTGATGATCATTGTTGAGTTTGATTTTCAATAATGTTTGTCTGCAGACACAGTAAGATGTCTGTGCATAGTATTGTCATTACCTCGGGCAATTTTACTGTTACTGTAACAGTGGCTACATTTTTCAATATGTATTATAGAATTATCTTATCAAATTTCATATCTTATCAGAGTTAGGTTTTTCATTGATGATCATTGTTGAGTTTGATTTTCAATAATGTTTGTCTGCAGACACAGTAAGATGTCTGTGCATAGTATTGTCATCGCCTGCTTCTGTCCTAGTGACTGCATGGAGGTTTAGTTTTTTGTTTATTTTCTTTGTATTCACTTATTTTCCATATTATGTTTTTGATTTTTTGCTTCAAACTTATTATAACCACTATGTAACTTAAACTTGTCATATTCTGATCAGTACGTTTAGGCTTCACTAGATTAAAAATACAAAAAGTTTGTTGAAAGTCAGAAGATGAATTTTGTTGAGGGCAACCAAAAACAGGAAAAACAAATAAGGTGAATATCATAGCAGACCTTAGGGGGGAAATATCAAAGGCTTGATCAAACAGCATGGATTCATTAAGTGAGCATCCATTAAGTACAGTTTGTCTCTTATTTTCCCTTACAGGAAGCAAGCTGCTGATCAAGATATTCAGTTGACCAATGACATGACAGTAGTCAGCCATTTTAATAATCCGAAAGAGGCCACATCGCAAAAAACAGTCAACCAAGGTCTGTCACTACATCCTACAAGGACTTTGATTGAATGCAAAACATAAGTTGGCAGTTTGTCCTTCTTTAAAAATTATATATTAAATGTCTATACTTTCATGACAGTCCATTTAGATATTGTTTACAAAAGAATGAAAAATGTTTTTGTGTAAACCAAAAGCTGTTCACATTTACTGTATAATTTGCAACACTGAGAAATATTAAGAAAAAGGTTATTATAAATATGATAGTTTTACATGTATTTTGAAATATGGTTCAAGTTTAGTGATGTCCTATACAAAACTCATATATCTTTGGCGATTCATTTCATGATGGTCAAAAATGCACTAAAAGTAATGATTTAAAAGGAAAATCCTCTGCCTTTGGTGAGGTTACTTTGCATATTGAAGTTAATTCAAATGACAATTTCAATTCTCATTTCAGCTCTGCGACCCACCACTAGTGTATCCAACAGAAACAAGAAGAAATGATTGAGTTTGTTGTGAAGAAGCCCTAAAAGCCAATAGAGATGTTGGATATTTGTTCTACTGTTTTAAATTTTAAAATATTAACTCTTATCAACTACTTGGAATATAATATTCCACTTAATAATAAAGGATTTATGTTTTTAGTTTGATACAATACTAGGCAAAGGTGCTGAGAGTATTTATGTAAAAATACAAGTTAAATCAAATGGATTGAATCTCCCATGTTCTGTTTTTTAGTTGTTTACATTTGATGCAAGTACCCTGATGAATTGTCAAAGCTACCAAACAAATCTTTATTAAAGAATTTTGGATTAAGTGATATATAATTTTAGGGCTCTGAAATACTTGCAGTATTTATCTTTTGACTCAATTTTATATGGATCTTGCATATCTAGTAAACCTTGGACATGGTGAGAGCAATATTTGCTGTAAAATTTTATAAATGCAAGAGTGCTTCTTAAGAGTGAAATATCGTTGGCACTAAAGTAGGAAACTGACTTCGTCCTTCAATTTAAGCATATTTTCATGGCCTAATTTATATTTTTATGGGTTGTTGTCATTTCTTGTTAACCAAAATTATTAGATATTTTCTAGAAGTCTTTAATTAGTAAATTTAGGTATTGTTCTTATACTTATGTAACTTCCTGAATGCATCTTCATCTTTAAAATCAATTTTGAATAAAAATTTAAGATATTAAACCTTGGTTTAAGACTACTGTAACAATTTTTTTAAATCCAAGTTTATGAAGAAGCCATGGCATCATAATAGTCTTAAACAAAGAACAACTAATTGAACAGTACACGTGTAATCTGTAGGCATTTGAAAATTCCCCTGTCATATTTTTTTCTTGTGAAGCTTCTGTTATATCCCCAATACAGTGATTAAATTCTTAAAATAAAAGTTAATCTGAAGTATTCATATTTTAGTTTTTTTAGCCTTCCCAGTAGCCATGACACTCAGAGCACCTGCATTATGCATGTCATAAAGCAGTGACACAAAACACTGGGCCACATTGTGTAATGAATTTAGAGAAGTTGTGATCCCAAATGATTAAGGCCAGATATGAAGAATTAAGTATGAATAGTGAAAATTTCACACGCACAAATTGCGTAACTTCAAGAAAAACTAGAGGATCAGAGAGGCGATACCGCCTCTGGATATTGTACCACCAGCTGGAGTAAGCGCCNTTAAACTCAACAAAAATGGTCATACAAATCTGCGATTCCATTGCAGCTGTTGGTGGATGACTTGCTAGTATATAATGGACAGATTGGTCCCGTCCAGAGTGTTGCCCGAGGTATCCTGCCGACCTGTGACCTCCCTCAGCCTTACCACACCATCCTCTTTACAGATGACAAACACATAGCTCAGAGAGAAAGGCATACTGTGATCAAGTAAGCCCTTTGGACATGTCTGGTTTTTGGTTGGTGATAATTAGTTGGTGATGCTTGTCATGGATATTTTGTATTACTGGCATATTTATATTCCACTGCCTTTCAAGAGTATGTGTATTTTCTTCTTGCATTTTATACGCATTGTTTTTCGCTTACCACATGTAGTAGTGAATACAAAACACTCTCTTTTAGAGTGAATTTTACTGTTACTGTAACAGTGGCTACATTTTTCAATATGTATTATAGAATTATCTTATCAAATTTCATATCTTATCAGAGTTAAGTTTTTCATTGATGATCATTGTTGAGTTTGATTTTCAATAATGTTTGTCTGCAGACACAGTAAGATGTCTGTGCATAGTATTGTCATCGCCTGCTTCTGTCCTAGTGACTGGAGGTTTAGGTTTTTGTTTATTTTCTTTGTATTCACTTATTTTCCATATTATGTTTTTGATTTTTTGCTTCAAACTTATTATAACCACTATGTAACTTAAACTTGTCATATTCTGATCAGTACGTTTAGGCTTCACTAGATTAAAAATACAAAAAGTTTGTTGAAAGTCAGAAGATGAATTTTGTTGAGGGCAACCAAAAACAGGAAAAACAAATAAGGTGAATATCATAGCAGACCTTAGGGGGGAAATATCAAAGGCTTGATCAAACAGTATGGATTCATTAAGTGAGCATCCCTTATGCACAGTTTGTCTCTTATTTTCCCTTACAGGAAGCAAGCTGCTGATCAAGATATTCAGTTGACCAATGACATGACAGTAGTCAGCCATTTTAATAATCCGAAAGAGGCCACATCACAAAAAACAGTCAACCAAGGTCTGTCACTACATCCTACAAGGACTTTGATTGAATGCAAAACATAAGTTGGCAGTTTGTCCTTTAAAAATTATATATTAAATTTCTATACTTTCATGACAGTCCATTTAGATATTGTTTACAAAAGAATGAAAAATGTTTTTGTGTAAACCAAAAGCTGTTCACATTTACTGTATAATTTGCAACACTGAGAAATGTTAAGAAAAAGGTTATTATAAATATGATAGTTTTACATGTATTTTGAAATATGGTTCAAGTTTAGTGATGTCCTATACAAAACTCATATATCTGTGGCGATTCATCTCATGATGGTCAAAAATGCACTAAAAGTAATGATTTAAAAGGAAAATCCTCTGCCTTTGGTGAGTTTACTGTGCATATTGAAGTTAATTCAAATGACAATTTCAATTCTCATTTCAGCTCTGCGACCCACCACTAGTGTATCCAACAGAAACAAGAAGAAATGATTGAGTTTGTTGTGAAGAAGCCCTAAAAGCCAATAGAGATGTTGGATATTTGTTCTACTGTTTTAAATTTTAAAATATTAACTCTTATCAACTACTTGGAATGTAATATTCCACTTAATAATAAAGGATTTATGTTTTTAGTTTGATACAATACTAGGCAAAGGTGCTGAGAGTATTTATGTAAAAATACAAGTTAAATCAAATGGATTGAATCTCCATGTTCTGTTTTTTAGTTGTTTACATTTGATGCAAGTACCCTGATGAATTGTCAAAGCTACCAAACAAATCTTTATTAAAGAATTTTGGATTAAGTGATATATAATTTTAGGGCTCTGAAATACTTGCAGTATTTATCTTTTGACTCAATTTTATATGGATCTTGCATATCTAGTAAACCTCAGACATGGTGAGAGCAATATTTGCTGTAAAATTTTATAAATGCAAGAGTGCTTCTTAAGAGTGAAATATTGTTGGCACTAAAGTAGGAAACTGACTTCGTCCTTCAATTTAAGCATATTTTCATGGCCTAATTTATATTTTTATGGGTTGTTGTCATTTCTTGTTAACCAAAATTATTAGATATTTTCTAGAAGTCTTTAATTAGTAAATTTAGGTATTGTTCTTATACTTATGTAACTTCCTGAATGCATTTTCATCTTTAAAATCAATTTTGAATAAAAATTTAAGATATTAAACCTTGGTTTAAGACTACTGTAACAATTTTTTAAAATCCAAGTTTATGAACAAGCCATGGCATCATAATAGTCTTAAACAAAGAACAACTAATTGAACAGTACTCGCGTAATCTGTAGGCATTTGAAAATTCCCCTGTCATATTTTTTTCTTGTGAAGCTTCTGTTATTTCCCCAATACAGTGATTAAATTCTTAAAATAAAAGTTAATCTGAAGTATTCATATTTTAGTTTTTTTAGCCTTCCCAGTAGCCATGACACTCAGAGCACCTGCATTATGCATGTCATAAAGCAGTGACACAAAACACTGGGCCACGTTGTGTAATGAATTTAGAGAAAAAGCTTAAAGGTTGGGAATGCAGTTGTGATCCCAAATGATGAAGGCCAGATATGAAGAATCAAGTATGAATAGTGAAAATTTCACACACACAAATTGCGTAACTTCAAGAAAAATAATCAAATATATGTGACAAGTCAAGCCTTACTTGGCGTAAAAAAGTAAATGGTCAGAAGAGCGTAGCTGGCATGGGAGGGAGGGGGGGACGGAGGGTAAATTGATACAAGATCCTATAAATATGGTGGGGCCCAAGTTGTAAAAAGCAGCATGTGCAAATACTAAAAGTTGAAAAAGAATGAAGTTGTGTGAGAATGGGGGTAATGTGGCTGTCACCAACTGTGCAAGTAAGAACTAGAGCAGAGAGATTTTGAATATGTTGCAGATTTTTTCTTTTGGACATCCATAAAGAAGTGAATTACAGTAGTCTAGTCGAGATGTAACAAGGGCTGCTGTCATATATCATTAATTTGTTCTTTACCATCCAAAGCCCTGAGATTGAAAATACAGCTTTTCAGGAAATTCTGAAAAATGTAAGAAATTTCTACAAATTTAAAGAAAACCAATCTAATCGGGACGTTTTTATCATGTGGTGTACATTTGGCCCATGAACCATTTTCGTAAATTCGAAAAGTAACTCCCAGACCTTTTGTCTAATAGAACTAGTAATTATGGTTAAAATTATTGCAAAATCATTTGCAAATATGCAGTAATTTTTCTAACTTTAATCAAAGTACCACAGGGATTGCTCTTGTTGGCCTTTGGCAACAAATAAGCACAACCTTTGGACAGTGCGAGTAAAAACCAACACCGTTCTTACACAAGTGTTTTATAACCCAGGAAAAAAACTCACCTTTTAATGTCAGAAAAAAGGGACAGCTTTAATACACCTTACTTGAAAGGAAAGTTGTTTTAATATTTTAATTTAAAATTACTAACACAAAACAATTTCCATTCCAAATTTTATTTATTTAAAACTGACCAGTAACCAAAGTAACTCAGAAAAGAATTGGCAAAAATTGTACCATACTAAAAGTACGTTGCTTTTGATCAACTGGTGCAAACACGAATAACTTCTAACTAGCTGCACAAATGTCCTTTACAGATTCCAATTTTGTGTGCGCCTGCTTTACAGTCATCAAATGGTGTGCGTAATGAGACATTTACAATCAGAAATGCCAACAACACTGTAACATATGTTCTTAAAAGAACTCTTTTTATCATGTTGCTTGGCAGCATATTTTCTTCCTCAGACTTTTCAGTGTTCATCATGACCATCATCACCTTCAAGAAGCATAGGAGGTGGACGCTTACCAGAGGCAAAGGCATCTTCTTCTACCAAAAAATGCAGTTTGTTCCTCTAGGAAAATAAAACAACATTTAGTGAAAGGTGAATATTTCAGGTCAAAATATGAAAAAGACAACTTTTCTGTCAGTGTTTAAAAACACTAACTGTTGTATGGAATAAAATAACAGGTACAGGCTTTAATGGAAGCATTACAGACATAACTGCATTGGGTACTCTTAATGTCACTTGTACCAAAACATCAAACTTAACTTTAACATTAGCTAATGTGAACTTTATCATGCTGCGTGCTTATTCATATAAAATGATTCGTTGATAAACTGTTACAAATTCTACTATTGCATAAATGGGCCTACCCAACTACCAGACTCAGCACTACACTGAATGATCCAGAATTCACCGTTAGATCAGAACACACTACCCGTTTTCAAGGTGTGAGTCAGTACACATTTCACATCATACCCCAAACAAGTTTTGTGGTGATGCAATACTTTCCAACCCCTCTGAGAATCATCACTATCACATCACGTACTAGGCAAGAGTGGTGTTGTGTCTGATACTTAGAAGCGTGCACTGACGCACACCTTGAAAACAGGTAGTGTGTTCTGATCTAACGGTGAATTCTGGATCATTCAGTGTAGTGCTGAGTCTGGTAGTTGGGTAGGCCTGTTAAAGAGTTCACCTTTTTAGCAGGGCAGAAACTTAGATATCTATTACTGAACCATTTACAAGGCTCGTACGTCTTTCCTTTAAGTTTGATACATCTCTGATAATCAGCAAAATTTTGCCAGCACAACCTGCAAAAAAAATTTTTTAAACCCACTTACTGTGTATATTTATGACAATGCGTATCATTCACCTTGTTCATTCACCTAGCTTTTAAGGAAATGCAATTTTTCCTTATTAAAAGTTCAATGATTTCACAAACAGTAAAATACACAATTTCCAGCTGATACACAGAACTAGAAGAGTAGATTTAAATATCAATTCTTTAACATTTGTGCTTATTCAAAACAAGGCAGCAAAGCTGTCAAATGTACAGACAAAAAGCAGACAATAACAATGCACAAAACGGGCTACTGTCAATTCTGATGCAAAAATAAATTATGCTTAACTGCAAATTCAACATCAAATTTTAATTATGCTCAACAGGTAATACCAATGTAAGTGAAATGTGTAACAAGCGTAAGGCTTCAGGCCCATGGGAGTTTAAGTTCACACTTTGAAAATGCCAGAATGAGAAAAATGAAAATTTCACATAAAACTGCTTAAATTCAATAATAAATGATAACCCAATTGAGCTGGCTTTCTTATTTGAACTGCATGCCAATCCTACAAATCATACTTGTAAGTTGAAAATAATAATAAGTAACACAGTTTTCTTTTCATAATGTTTGTAGTAGCAGTGCAAAAAGATTTTTGTCAATTTTGATGTAACATTACATAATAAATTACAGAATAATTATCACCAATTTTTGATTATTGACTATAAATAGCATGGACATGTAGAAAATTTGATTACCATTTGGCTTCATGTCCATGGGAGCTTCGAGTCCCACAATGAATATGCCAACATGATAAAAATGAATATTTCACTAAAATGTATAACTTCCAGAAAAAGAAGCCAATTAGACTGCTTTTCCAACTCAGGCTGCATTTTAGTCCTTTGTTTCTTTTTTGAAAGTTTGACAATCATAAGTAACATGGTTTTCCCATAATGGTCATCATGGCAGCAGCACCCAAAATTGTGTTTTCTTCTATTTTAATGCAATATTACATAATGCTTAACAGCATAATGACCATCAGTTTTTAATAATAAAAGATCCGTATCGTGGATTTTCAGAAAATGTGATTAGCATGGGTCTTCAAGCTCGTGGAGGTTCTAAGTCACACCTTGAAAATGCCAATATGTGAAAAATTAAATTTTCACAAAAAACTGATTAACTGCCAAAAAAATTTACCAAATAGTCTGCATTGCCCACTGAAGCTTTATTTAAGTCCCATGTTTCTTCCTGTAAGTTTGAGAACAGTAAGTGACATGGTTTTCCTTAAATGGTCATCATGGGAGCAGTGTCCAAAATAGGGGTGTCTTCAAATTTTGATGCACTATTACATAATGTTTAACAGGATAATTACCATCAATTTTTAATAATAAAATATTAGTATCATGGATATTCAGAAAATGTTCCTAGCAAAGGTCTTCAGGCCAAAGGAACTTCAAAGTCACACCTTGAAAATGCCAAAATGTAGACAAGACAGCACTGTCCTGAAATGTTTTTTTTTCCATTTTTAACAATTTTTTAACATATAACAAAATTAACAATTTACTGCCATTTATATATGATCAACTAAGAAAATTGATGAGATGGGAAAAATATCAATAGAACAGTGTTTAATGTCCAATTTCCTCCATTCTGAGTTTCTGAACATAGTGAATGAATGAATCTGACAAACTGCAATGATATGAGTTTATTTCCATTTTTGAAACTCTATTATACAATACATGATAACAAGTTTACCATCATTTTTACATAATCAACTAACAATGTTGTAAAGATGCAGGAAATGTCAAACAAACACTTTTACGAATCTTATTAGTTAAATAATGAGACTGTTAACATGCCTAAGAATTGAATCTGAGGAAATGTTTAAAAACAGCATAACTTATAAAATAATGGCCCGATTATGCTGATTTTCGAACTTGACCTGCATTTTAGTAAGATTAATTACTCCTGTGAGTTTCATGACAACAGGTCTATCGGTTTTCCTTGAAATGTGTTAACAGTGTTGCACATATGCTGAAAAGTGAAAAAACAAACAGCATAACTACTAAAATAGTGGCCCGATCATGCCGATTTTCGAACTTGATCTGCGTTTTAGTAAGATTGATTACTCCTGTGAGTTTCATGACAACAGGCCTATCGGTTTTCCTTGAAATGTGTTAACAGTGTTGCATATATGCTAAATAGTGAAAAAACAGCATAAATTCTACAATAATGGCCCGATCATGCTGATATTCGAACTTGACCTGCGTTTTATGAATGTTAGTCAGCTCTGTAAATATAAAGCCAAAAAGTAAAACTGTCTTCCACTTATGGTGTTAACGCTGAAAGTGCATGGCGACGGCGACGGCGACGACAGACGCAGGTGATGGCAATATGTACAGACACATCTGTGTCTGTACATAATAAAAAATCTTACTTCATACCTCATTTGGTTCCATGTGGTGAAGCGGGCATCAAAAGGCTGAGGTGTGACCCCATCAAATTTGTACTCAACCTTATATTCCTCCATCATTTCTTCGGGGACCTACAAGCAAAAATTTTTAAAACTGTCAGTCTTGTTTCAGAATTTCCACAAATTTCCCAATAAATTATTTACAGACCCAGCTTAGTTTAAAGGCATTGAGAGTATCCTACAGCTTAATCCAGATCAGCCAAATTGTCAAAAAAAAAAAAAACTTACATTAAGACTAATTATTGTCACCCAAAAGTAGTTAAAAAAAACAACAGTGTTTCTCAGGTTAGAAAATTGTACTAATTGCTGAAAAGCCAGTTAACTCGTTGCTACAATTCATGTATTTTAGTTGAAACACCTAAAATCCCTTGAAATATTTCTTCTTCATAAAATTATTTTTTATATTCAATTCATTTCTGTACTGGTTCATAAATTATCATGACCTTGTACAATATAATATAATAACAACAGTAAAATTGGTGCATTACCATTCTCTAATTGGTAATAGTGTTGCCAGTTTGTGAATGAACAATTACATATCTTTATATAATAAACAGATGTACTAGTTAAATTACTAATAAAATATTCGAGCTAGGCAGTGAGATATCACATCTTGGTGTGATTAATTTACAAATTTACCATAAACAAAAATCAAGAACCAAATGGATACAATCAGATGTTGCACAATATGGAGCAGTTGAAACTTACAAGGAGGGAAAGGAGAACTACAATTACATAAAGGAATAGATAGGTAAACAATGCAGTTACACAGATATAAATATTGTGACTCTTGACCATGTGCCATGTTTAGTCCCACTACCAAGTCACTGCTCACAGCAATGAGACCATAAACTGACATTTTTCAAGGAATATGCTAAGAGTTACCAAGCAGAGCAGCCACTTCATTTCTTTTCTTCAATGATTTTATGAAATTGGAGAGGGAGACTAAATTATCTTTTTTGGCACTGTTAAATACTTAGCACAACTGACTCCCTGGTGACCTTGTATCTGTTTTAAGGATTGAGATTTTACTTATTAATAAGTGATCTCGGTCCGTTTTGTACAGTGGGCATCCACTTTGAAACTGGGCAGCACACCAGTCCAACAACTGACAGGTGTGACAGAATCTGCTGCCTCTACTTTACAATATTATTGGCCAAGAAGAGCCACTAACCAACATGGCGGCTGACCCAACGATCAACAAAATCTGCCAATTTGTTAAGTTTTATCAAGGCTATTAATTATTTACTAATATATATTTAGCTCTTATATCAGCCTACTTTGTTTGAAATGACTGTTTCCAGTGTTTACTTGTAACTGGACTCGTTTTTTCAAAGTGTTTTGTGCTGCGTTGCACTAGGGAGACCCGGTGAAACTGTCATTTGCAACCTGGGTTTCCATGTGGGAAATAATATTTCCTCAAATTTTTTTACCTAAAAAAGGATGATATTTTGTAACATCTTGAGCAAATTAGCTTCACACCTGTAACGAAGTTGGTTGTGAGGAATACTTAGAAAATAAACATGCAGCATTCTTTTTAAAAAATGAACAGATAACTAAATTATCAGTTAGAAACTGCAACTAAATTATTTTCAAAAATAAATATTTTATTATGGACAGCGGATACCTTGAACGACATACTGAATACTAATATAGCAGTAAGAACTATATAAGGGGTACTGGAAGGGAAGAGTGCCACTGACAGCGACAGTGGTAGGGTTACCTGTGCCAGTGATATATAACATCGACAACTCTCGTTTCTGGCGTTATGGAATCTAAACATTTATATTCTATCATACTTACCGACTTATCCCAATTTAATAACACGTCTTTCACCTTCCTGTCCATTTTTAATTTTAAACACGAACGAATAAACGTTTGTACTGCTTGTTAAACAATATGGCCGAAAATAAAGCCTTCTCGCTGATGACACCCTGTTACTCAAACGCAGAGAAAAATAGTTCTACAAATAATTTGCAATTCACTTATACTTTATGCCAAATCACCACGCAAATACACGTTCATAAGCACAAAATTTCCCAGAAATAACGGAAATGATGATTAACATGAGCCCTTTGTGTTCAAATATTAGTTAATTCTATTAATCCGCATCCAGAAAATGGTCTCGTTTTCAGTGAATTAGTCTCGATTTCAAGACGAGAAGTAAGCTAGGACTTTGTTTCCATCCGTAGATCGATCTAGCAGGCTCGGTCCATCCCCACAGGATCCCTCGCTAAATTGCTTTCTGCCCAAGCGGCTAAACGTCTGTAGGACGCCCACCACTATAGCTGCTAAACGATAGTTAATTACCCTTATCAGCCTCAGCAGGCTGCCCAGTTCACAAATATAATCCCTAGACTTGTTAATTGATTTTACTGAAGTCGCTTGCTTGTGCACTCGACTCGTTCTATAGCCTTATCTGTTATTTTATATGAAGTAAGTGGACGTGTGCAATGTAGTCTAAGCCGAGTATCAGGAATAAGTTTATTAAGCCTTATTTTTGTAAAAAAAAAAAAACCTTCGGTCTTCAATCTTGTTCTCCTGCTGAATACTTCCAGTAAAAAAGAATTATGTAATTTAGCACGATACATTAAACAGGCTGGAAGTATCCAGCAGGGGATCAGATCTGCTGGCTGGACAAAATCCAATTTCGACTCTCATTTACTTAAGTAGATTCGAAGTGATTTTTATTCTTAAACCCTACTTACATGTACATCTGCAGTTTTTATTTTTGGAAGATATTGAAGTGTAATATGACTAGCACAACTGTCTGTCATGGCTATGTGCTCTTATGGTTGTATAGACTGAAAATGCAGAACTCGAGATGCAACCTTTGCACAATGGCGTTTCATTGGCACAGGACTTGTTAAGCCTTATTGCAGATACTGAGAGGATGGTTTACTTCATTATTTGATAATATCTGGTAATTGTCTGCTAAAATGATTTTTTGCATGTTATTTGTGGGAAAAAGGTTAACAATGACTGTACAAGAAAGAGAAAAACATTGATCCCATTATGATGTGTCCAAAGTCCTTATTAAATCCATGCTTTCATTGGGCAAAATAATTTAATACAAACAGCAATCCTCATGTCAGTGAATTGCATTTAATTCAATGAAAGAATTAAACATATAGAAATCATTAAATTTCAATCTTTTTTAAGCAAAAATATCTGACATTATTTAAGTTTTTTTAATTCCATATCTTTCTCTCATCTGATCTACTCTTTTTTTTATCTCTCACTCTATATGTAACCAAACTACCATATAATTCATATATTAAATGAAAATTATCAAACACAAACTGTGATTAATGGAAAAGACAAGATACTAAGGGGCGAATTGGGGCCGTCTTCCGAATCTTCTGGAAGATGGTCAGATTTTCAAGTTTACATTGACGGGTATCAATTTTTTTCTGTCGGAAGATGGTCAAAATGGAGGATGGATCAACAAAAATAATTTGGAAGACTATCAGAAAATATCTCTGGATCTGCCCCTGATACTGGAGAACAAGACACTGGATGAAGCTATCATGATTTGTGGTTACCCACCTTGGGCTTTAAAGATAAAATCGCATCAGTACCGGACAGTAGTGACCACCTGTGAGCCAACAGACAGAAGAAAAAAAACAGCTAGTGATTCTCCCTTATTGTAAAGAAATTTCAGAAAAAGTGTGCAGGATCTACAAAAAGCTCAGTGTCAACACAGCTTTCAGACATCAGTGCAAATTGATTCAACAGTTAACACCAAGCAGCACCAAAGGACAAGACCCCTCAAGAACAGTGTTGTGGGACTATATATAGGATCAACTGCCATGACTGCAATTCTTTTTACATTGGTGTGACAGGTAGACTGTTGCAGACCAGGGTTAGTGAATGAAGAAAATCAATGATAGTAGGCAATACCAGCTCTGCCATTTCTGAACATGTATTAGACACCGGCCAGAGTTCTGACCGGAATTCAACCAATATCCTTGAATCCGAGTCATCTGACATCCCACAAAAGATACAAGAGGCTATCAACATCAGCTGTCACCCTGGCCGCCATACCACCTAGTGGTCAGTGAGTGTCAACATCTGCTCATATCAGTGTGATGAAGGCCTACTTCCAGGTTGGCCATGAGCTAATGGTCTGAAAGTTTTTCAACTTGTGTTTGATAATTTTCATTTATGATTCAACTACCAATCTAATGAACAATTTTTGCTCATCTACAATATAAATACATTTATAAGCAACTAAATAAAAGAAGCATATAATTCTGAAATAAAATACACTTAGAAATGAAATCATTATTTAAATTGCTTGTAATCATGTTAGTTCTCGCAAAATAAACTTTTTACCTTTCCACTGAAATTTTTTTTTTCATTTCTATCTTTATCATTATGTGGCAGGTATTGAGGAGGGTTTTGTATACTAACATATACAGCGTTGCACTATGCCAAAAATGGTGTGAAAAAATGTCCCATTATCATTAATTACATTCATTATCAAAAATATTTTCCAACAGAATTTCCCAGCTTGAATAACCATGTTTCCAGGGTTCTGGCTATAAAATTTCTTGTGTTATCATTTCTTCTTTTTCCTTACTGATCCATTACCATCTTTCAGACTTCTTTTTTGAGCACTGAAAGTATCCTCGATAAGAGAGGGTTCCAACTGTTTTGCAATATAGTAAGCCCATAAAACAAGTTCAACTTTGTGACAAGTCCACAGCTCATCTTTGATATTTGAATCTGAAAAAAAATAAACAACAAAGCATACTTTAGTTGAGAAATTGTAATTTCCCAATAACAAGCATCATGCTACTTCTTATTTATACATGTAGCAAAATTGTTAACTTTCTGATGCATGAAAATTTTTTTAAAGTTTCATACCAAATCATTATTCAAATGAAACATACTTTCCATACTGGTACATAATACTGCCTTTTTTCCTTAATGAAATTTTTTAGATCTACACCTCAAAGCAAAAGGCCACACCAGAGCAACTTTTTCTCACCTCAACACCTCCCCCCTCTCAACTCATGAACACTCTCTTTTGAGAAAGTAGTTCAATCTAAACCAGAGTGGCCTTTAATTGAGAATTCCAGGATTTTTCCGTCTCATTTTGTAAATTATAATAAATTCTAATCATCATGGCTTTAAAACAATAATGACATCAAAACATACCTTTGTTGAGCCTCCTTGTTAACAGATCGACTTTCTTTGAATACTCAAGGTAGTGATTCAGTGTGTATGCTAATGGCTGTAGTCCAGGTAATGCAAGCATGGCTTCATCTGCCATAAAAGGGGCATGTTCAGGTGACCCAGCAGCCAGCACAGCTATTTATATTAAAAAATGTGAAAATGGACCAATTTGACTTAATATTTTCATGTAAACACCTTTGAGAATCATAAACTTTAGACTTGAGTTCATAAAAGATAATAAATCTGACAGTTTATTTACCTGTATATACAACCCTACACAAGCCCACCAAATACAAGATCTAAGTGGTGCCATGTTTTATTACCAAATTCTGGACAACAAACACATAAACATCAAACCCCCTAAAGATACAGCATATATATATATATATATATATATATATATATATATATATATATATATATATATATATATCGGCAAAAAATTCTCCATATAGGATATATCATGCATATGATGGCATTTGTGTTTAGTGGCAATATTTTGAAACACCTACTGGCTTTAATGCATCTTTAAAATAACATAATAGTGTGCACTTATCTTCAATATTATTTTGCTGACTAATGTACCTGAAGCTGTTGCAGGACCGACTGCTTTTAAAACAGTCAGTTCTTTGATTGCTGCAGATAGGTTGGGAATTTTTTTAAAAGCTTTCTTGCTTGCTTTTACTACGTCCTCTGGTTCATTCTCTCTGACAAGCTCTGTGAGTCTGGGTCTAAATTTTCCTCTCTGCCAAATAAAAAACAACCAACCCATAAATGTAGTTATATCTTATCTCAATATTAATCCTCATTTCGCCTCATTAATTGATGATGGCTAAATACCAGTACATCCTTCACTATCAAAATTTAATGAAAAGAAAATATGCCTAAATTTGTAGCAAAGTCACACTAACTATCAATTTCTATGACATCAGCTGACAGAGTTCTTCATGGGTAATGTACTTCTCCTCTCTTGACTGAATTAGTTTTGGAAGCTCATTTTGAAACCTATAACAAATAAAGGATAGGAGATTATGGTCATTAGCTATTCCAAGCATATCATTGTGATAAAATTACCCCTCATAAACATACTTGCTGTTGTGATCTGGAGACATGGGTTTGTAATAGCAAATGCCAAATTATCGACTTGCATCGTGAATTCATGGCAAAAATAGAAATACTTGTAGGTAGTATTGCAATTTACATCGCAGTTAATATTCTAAGGGTCCATTGGGTATTTTCATAACCCAGGAAAGCCACTTTTTCTTTCCCTGAGGTGTGTGAAACATTTCTATTATTTAGTATATGATCCATGAAATATCCTATTTCCTGTGACTCATGAAGGAGGCTTTTTATTCTCCCCCCTTGTTGAAATGAAGTAATGTATTTTCAGGATTTTTTGCTCATATTATCATTGACATATGAATCAAGTTTTTTTTTTACTTTATTTGTACCCTGAGTGTCAGAGCAACGTAAAAGCTAGCTTGTTAAATATTAAATATATCTTATGATGGAGTCGATTTTACTCTGATGAACAGCGACCATGTTCGACTTCCGTCAATCAAAAAGAACTGCTCTGCAGTGAATCTGCAGCTGAATGTCATTAAACCAAAATGAAGCGTAAAACAGATTTAATTCTGCTTTATTTAATTTAATTTACTGTATTTAAGATGTAAAGTGAAACAAGGCAGCAAAGCTGTCAAATGTACAGACAAAAAGCAGGAAATAACTATGCACAAAATAGGCTACTGTCAATTCTGATGCAAAAGTACATTATGTTAAACTGCAAATTCAACATCAAATTTTAATTATGCTCAACAGGTAATACCAATGTAAGTAAAATGTGTAACAAGCATACGGCTTCAGGCCCATGGCAGTTCAAGTTCACACTTTGAAAATGTATAACTTCCAGAAAAAGAAGCCAATTAGACTGCCTTTTCCAACTCAGGCTGCATTTTAGTCCTGTATCTCTTTTTTGAATGTTTGGCAATCATCAGTAACATGGTTTTCCCATAATGGTCATCATGGCAGCAGCACCCAAAATTGTGTTTTCTTCTATTCTGATGCAATATTACATAATGGTTAACAGCATAATGACCGTCAATTTTTAATAATAAAATATACGTATCATGGATTTTCAGAAAATGTGACTAGCATGGGTCTTCAAGCCCATGGAACTTCAAAGTCACACCTGAAAATGCCAATATGTGAAAAATTAAATTTTCACAAAAAAGAAAATGTTTAACTAGCAGAAAGAATTACCAAACAGACTGCATTGCCTACTGAAGCTGTATTTTAGTCCCATGTTTCTTTCCTGTAAGTTTGAGAACAGTAAGGGACATGATTTTTCTTAAATGGTCATCATGGGAGCAGTGCCCAAAATATTTTTTTTCCAATTTTTGATGCAATATTACATAACGTTTAACAGCATAATGACCATCAATTTTTAATAATAAAATATTAGTATTATGGATATTCAGAAAATGTGACTAGCAAAGGTCTTCAGGCCCATGGAACTTCAAAGTCACAACTTGAAAATGCCAAAATGTAAACAAGACAGCACTGTTCTGAAATGTTTTTTTTTTTTCCATTTTTAACACTTTTTTAACATAAAACAAAATTAACAGTTTACTGCCATTTTTATATGATCAACTAAGAAAATTGATGAGATGGGAAAAATATCAATAGAACAGTGTTAAATGTCCAATTTCCTCCATTCTGAGTTTCTGAACATAGTGAATGATTGAATCTTACAAACTGCAATGATATGAGTTTATTTCCATTTTTGAAACTTTATTACACAATACACGATAACAAGTTTACCATCATTTTTACAAAATCAACTAACAATGTTGTAAAGATGCAGGAAATGTCAAACAAACACTTTTACGTATCTTATTAATTAAATAATGAGACTGTTAACATGCCTAAGAATTGAATCTGAGGAAATGTGAAAAAACAGCATAACTTATAAAATAATGGTCCGATTATGCTGATTTTCGAACTTGACCTGCGTTTTAGTAAGATTGATTACTCCTGTGAGTTTCATGACAACAGGCCTATGGGTTTTCCTTGAAATGTGTTAACAGTGTTGCATATATGCTGAAAAGTGAAAAAACAGCATAACTTATAAAATAATGGTCCGATCATGCCGATTTTTGAACTTGACCTGTGTTTTAGTAAGATTGATTACTCCTGTGAATTCATGACAACAGGCCTATCAGTTTTCCTTGAAATGTGTTAACAGTGTTGCATATATGCTGAAAAGTAAAAAAACAGCATAAATTCTACAATAATGGCCCGATCATGCTGATTTTCGAACTTGACCTGCGTTTTATAAATATTTATCAGATCTGTAAATATAAAGCCAAAAAGTAAAACTGTCTTCCACTTATCGTGTTAACGATGAAAGTGCACGGCAACGGCTACATCGACGGCGACAGGGACGGCGACAGGAAAGGCGACGACAGACGCAGGTGATGGCAATATGTACAGACACATCTGTGTCTGTACATAAAAACATATAATATTCATCAAAAAGAAAAGATATATCCAATGTTTCTGTATTTTTTGTTTATCACTGCACGTGTTTGCAGTGTGCCAAGTTTGACAGCTACACTGTATGCCCGATACCACTATAAGGGCTGCGCAATGGCTACACCAAAATCAGTTTTTAAAGCAGAATGTTGCTTGTATTGTGGCACTGACCTTCGACTGCAAGATATTCTTAATTTAAACTTCTAACTCTGCGTCAGCCACTTTGCTTCTTGTCTCGTCTGCACGATATAACGTCAGCGCAAGGCGGGAAAGGCAGCTCCAGGCGGCCAAACCTGTGACGTACAAAACTTATGACTTCCAAATATGGATCCAGGCAGACAGAGCTGTGACGTGTGACTTCCAAATATGGAGCGCCCCAGGCAAAATTTTGAAGAAGAAAGCCCACAGCTTGTCGGTGATTGCTAGAGCCTGGTATTGCTGATATGGGTTATATATGAAATCAAGATCAAGCTGGCAATACCAGAATCTAGAACCTAGGGTATTTATTAGTGAATTGATGTTTATTTCCCGTGAACTACTGTACTGTACTGTACGTGAGCTACCCCCCCCCCCCCCCCCCCCCCCCCCCCCACCCCCCACCACACCCACACACGTGCATCACTTACCGTTCATTATGACTTAATAGACAGTCCTTGATGTTTTAAACGTTAGTACTACCAAGAATGTTATTCTTACATAAATCGAATACAGTTATCACTAAAGCATTGCACAGTACCTGTCTTTGAACAGAGCAAACATCAGCTTCAAAGTTGTTTTATCGCGTCATAAGCAAATCTGTTGCCGCTTACGTCTTTATAAAATTATAAAATGGACAAGAGAAAAAGCTGGGGAAAGAAAGGTTTTGATCAACCACTAAAAGAAGATTGCTTGGTCTTATTTGTCCCCCAAGGTTTAATGGAAAAGAAAAGGCGATATATATATTCAACTTGTATTTATTTTAAAAAAATGTATCAAAAGATTTTTTTATAAGTTTGATAGGGAGAAATGTGGATGCAGTTTTTCAGTAGCTCAATAAGTTTGACTTCATCTATCCAGGGGCTTCTCTATATTTTCATGTAAATTTGAAAGTAGTCTACATGAAAATCTCTACTTCTACAATTAAATAAATGGCTGTTTCCTCCTCCTACCAACCCACTTGCAAATCNAGATCGATCTATCCCCGCGGGGAGTCTCACTAGATTACTTTCAGATAATCCGACTTAAATGTCCGTCCCGCCTACTACAAGCTGTAAGAGGGTAATTAACTTTCGTGTCCGCCTGGCTGAGCGCTTAGCGTGAACCCCCAGGGAGTTAGGTCGATCTAAAGTAGGTCGATCTAATCTATGGAAATGGGGTGTAAGTCTTAGCTAAGCCAAAAAACTGTGGTGGTTTTGTGAAATCACCCCTAAATACATGTAAGTGAAGATAATAAACAAAACTCTACTGCGAGTGTCTGATGGAGACTGTTTATTACAAGTCAACCAATAAGATCCAATAAAACAGTTCAACTTCAAATCTTCTGTGCTTGTTTGAGGTGGTGGTTTTCCTAATACAGATCAAATTATAACTATAATGCAACTACAGTAATAGTTTTATTGGAAAGACAAACACAGAATTAAGTCTGCTGATCTGAACACTCAGTAAAAACACATGTATATAAACTAATTGTCAAGCGTTACCCTTGTCCATATCTCTATAAGCTAGTTTTTCTTCTTATACGTAGTCAAATCGGAATTCCTTTTAATTGACAACTTCCATGATTGTTCTTAACCAGTATTATAAGATCGTAATCAAAACGAGTTGAGCCATGGCTTTACAAATCCTGGAACTAAATATGGCGGATGTACATGAAAGAAAAACCGCCTAATCTTTTAATAGTCTCACACGCCTCTCACACGCCTCCCCATGCGTCGTCCCTGCAGGGGTACAGTCATTAAATCTCGGCTCCATTGGGACGACACATAGGGAGGCGTGTGAGAGGCGGAGAGACTATTAAAAGATTAGGTGGTTTTTCTTTCATGTACGGCCGCCATATTTAGTTCTAGGATTTGTAAAGCCATGGCTCAACTCATTGTGAATGCGATCTAATAATGATGCACTCTTCAAGTCTCCAAAGACAAATCAGGAAGTCTTGAAGACCCAGCTAGGGCAAATGATGGAAATGCATGAGTATATAACACTATGGGAAAATCTCAGAACAGTATAATAAACTCTTTACCAACATGGTCAACCATCCTCAATTTGAAAATGTGCTTACACCCATATCACATACAGTACTGTACTGTATATACTAGTATGTACATGTACTAGTACATAACACATACCAGTGCCCAGCATAATTAGTGTGAGAATGATCTGAGACCAATGTCTATCAAGGAGATAAAAGCAGCTGTTGCAAATTTACAGTAACACAATACTGCTTACACAATTTTCAATAAACTTTTGTGTGTTCATAACTTCAGCATAGCTTTTATAATTTCAAAAACTTTCAATCTTTATGGATTCAATTTAAATGTTATTTTAATTGATCAAATCTTTCTTCATTTGAATACTGTCTTTTACATATGTGCATTCAATATATTTCTCATATATTGTAGAGTAAAGTAAATTGTTTCATGTACAGACATACTGGTGTAGTAACATAAAAATTCATTTTACCATTTATCCAATCTTATAAGCTTCTTGCCTCCTTCAGGATTTTTAGGCGTTTTGCTAATTTTTGACGATTTAACTGCAATTATTTTGTCGTAATTGGACAGTATAAATTGCCATCTGCCAGGTGTTTCATCAACAATGTCAGTAGTCATAATGTTTTGTAAAGAGCAGTATGTTTCAAGTGACTCTTTTCCCGCTGAATTTACAAGCTTCTGGGTAATAACTTTCCATCGATAATGAATTGACTTTGACACAAAGTAAAAGAAATAATAATAATACAGAAAATAGGTAGAAATTTGAAAATTTTCCATTTCATTTTATTCAAATACACCTGACTTATTATCATATATTATATATCTATTAATGCGTCCTCTTTCTTACTTCCAGCAATTAGGTGAAGACATGTCTTCGTTGCAAGCGCCATCTTTTGACTGTATTTTGGTTCCATTTTCAAACCTTTCTCAAACCAGCTTTTCTGCTGGTGATATCGTATGGGTAAGTCTTATTTCAGTTCAACTGATACTGCATTCATGATATTCACAAGTGCTTTTCAGTTCTACCATCTCACTGCAACTCAAATCATATCCAAATTGGTTTTATCAAAGCCATAGTAAACATTATAGAATGCTGGCGTACAAGTATTTGGGCTAAATGGATGTTAGGATATATCTTTTAACCATTGGAGATTAGACGTATGGGCCTTTATTAATTTTGCCAGTAAGACATGTAATCCTCTTTTTCAGATCATATTTTCAGTATTCTGCACTAGGTGAAAAATGACAGAATCAGGAGGTAGGAATGTTATGTGCTAGCTTTGAAAAAATAGGGTTTCTTTAGAATTAAGTGATAAATGTTCAAATACTGTCTGAACCCATTATCATCTTAGTACATGTCTGATTAGTGCAAGAGATATAGAGAATATATCTCTTGTTATGTCACAACTTTTTGATTCAGTAACCTTGGATATATCCAATAATAGGTCAATTTAATCTATTTTCAGGTTCACAGACTACATTTTAAAAATGTGAACTTACATAATAGTATGAGAAAGTGATCCATTATTATTAAGACCATGTATTACTTATTTAAAAGACAGACACTTCAAGTATTGATAAATTAATAGTTTAAGAAGAAATAAGTAATTGGAAATGTATTTTATTAAAATTCTCTTTGTGTATATTTATTAGGACATGTGCAGCTTACTAACAATATGCTGGCTCAGCTGCATGTTCCAATACGTGTGAAAACATTGAAGGAAATAAATGCCAATGTCTTTGTGACTCTTTATGAAGGAATGATGGGAGACAGATTGCCAGGTAAAAAGAGACCAATAAAAGTGTCCTCAATGTATTAAAATAAAATGTTTGGTTTTAATAATTTCAGCTTCAATTTTTTGATACAAAACAATATATGCATACAGTATATATATATATATATATATATATATATATATATATATATATATATATATATATATATATATATATATATATATATCATGTAAACTTCCCAGAGGGCAATGACATCCCTACAGGGCTAGACACTAACTTTTTTGAGCACCTGTCCTTTGGACAGGTGGTCATAAATTTGACCTGTCCGATTTTCAAACCAACCTGTCCAACAAAACCAATATTTTTTTTTTCTATTCATACCTAGAACTTTATAAATTAATATGTATAGTCATACATTTAATGTATTTATTACCAAAATACTCAATCGAATGAGCTGGAAAAGTGCACCTTAAAGTGAATTTATTTTCAGATAAAAAATTGTTTTTTCATACTTGTGAACTCCTGAAGATTAAATCTTGCATATAAGTCTGATTTAACATAGTTCCAATCAGGGCTTCTCCTAGGATTTGAGGTACAGGGTCTACTAATTGTAAATCTGCAATTTGATAACAGATTCACATGAAGTTTAACAACAGCTAAGGAAAAAAATACCTTGAGTGGGAAGTGGGGAGGGGGTACTGTTAAATTAATTTTATTAAAATATTCAAAATTAATAATATTTGAATATAGTTCAATGAAAAGTTAAATAATATTCATTATATAATACTTTACTTATATTTATGTTAACAATTTAACTTCTTTAGGGGTTATCATGTGTTTGATTTTTCTTTAATATATGAATTAAATAAAATCAGTATAAAAAGTTCCCCTTCTTTTTATTTAAATTCTCATATTTTTTATTACCAATTTCCTCCTTACATCAATATCATTCTGGTATATGACAGCAATGTTAATTTATCATATTCCAGCACTAATTTTTAACTGTAAATAACATAAGTGATGCTAGAGTCATTTAAGAAAACATCATACAAAATTTCAGGTTATATTTTGGCAAATAAACCACATTTCAACAAGATCTTCAGTCCAAAAGATTTCACTTTCTATAGTGAGTAGATAGCATACAACGTATTTGATTGACAGGCAGTATGTTGCCTGGACAACAAACTAGATATAGCCAGTTCATCCAGTTCAATCTGGCTGTTGTACCCAGTACAGTACTTGTGTAGTTTCTGTTTTTGGAACGGTCTTTATTACTAGTGCATGTAGATTTTGAACTAAATAAATATTCAGTAAAGAACCTGATATGTGAATAGATTTTGTCTGATGAAGTTCTGGAGGGTGTTCACTTTCATAATTTGGCGGTAAGTTTACTCAGACTTCGTTTTGCGACTGCATGTGTTTTGTGCCAAAAGTAGGTCACTCTTTTCAATGCCGTCTAGGAAGAGAATAAAAGACGTTAGTATGCAACAAAAAATGATTTTTTAAAGACTTTTGGTCCAAATTTCTCACAAAACATGACCTGTCCGTCGGACAGCCAACCCTGCAACTTCACCTGTCCTAACTGAATTTTTACCTGTCCCGGACAGGCGGACAGGCGCTAATGTCGAGCCCTGCCCTATCAGTTTTTCATTTTTTCTAATTAGAGTTTAATAAATGATGTAAAACACATATAACAACAAAATTAATTTCATTTGTTGATCCTTCACTCCAAACCCAAAAGATGTTTATAGTTTTTCATGACAATTAGATGGCAAACATGCAACTTACTCCTATTGTTTGTTTGTATTTTTGTTTTCTACATTGAAACAGACATCATCAGGAATCCAATGAGCATAGAAGATGAGATCCATAATTGCCAGTGTGTGGTGGATTCTATCTCTCTTGATATACTACACACTTCTCTCTCTCACATTACTGGGCAGAGTATTGTCCATGGAGATCCTGGTAGTATAATGAACTTGGTTGAAGTCTTCTCTGGATTACTGGAGTATTTTCTTGATAAAATCGAGAGTGACATTTCTTCAGATAATGAAGGTAGGTTTTTCTGACAACGGTACAAGCTATCAGTTATTAATATTTAACTTCTTAAATGGGATTAAATGTCATATCAGTCTATTCTGTTATTACCATATCTATTTTTTTTACTGTGATTAAATTCCATATTTGATAATTTGGTCTAAGCATTATAGTACTTCGTATTTTTTAAGAAAACCCAGGTTATTTGGAAGAAGAAGACCCTGATGCCTTGACACCAGAAGTGCTGAATGGTATTCTTGAGAGAGAACTTGGGAAGGATCAAGAGTCACAGTATGGGTTAAAATTCTCACTTTTAAGTCTGAAATAGTGTTATCTGCTATTAAGGTATCTAATCAGAAAAACTTTGATTTCTTGTTATTCATAAAGATGGTCAAAAGTGGTACAGATAACTGTCATACGCTGCATGATTAAATTATATTAATTATATTGGTTTTATCTGCAAAAATACAAAGGCAGAATCCATTACATACTT